ACGCAATTTGAGCGAGTTATAACGATTTTTTAAAAGATACGACTCGCGTGTCATACGCCACACGCAAAAGTAATCGATGGCACGCCTGAATCCGCACTGAACCGGTTAATAACAAGAGATTCCGCAATATTGCATTGTACAGAAAATACAGACTGTACAGTTCTTTCAGTAATCAGTCCACTCTAAAATTACTCAATATTGTTACCCATGGAGTTTAAATCATCAAGACCTATAATATAATAAATCATAAAATCGTTAAGCAATACACCCAGGTTCACGGGCTAAGCGTTCGGTGTAAATTTCACAGTACGCAAGCAACCCGGGTTCGATCCCCGCCGCCACCAATGAAATTATTAATTGCAATTTTAAGTGCCGATTTATCACGCGCTCGGCGGTGAAAGAAAAAATCGTGAGGAAACCTGCATGTCTGAGAAACAAGAAAAAAATCTTCTCCGATGACATGTGAAGTCCGCCTACACGCATTCGGCAGCGCGGACATTTCCTTGCCCTAAAATACTGTTTGAAAGGCAGAGGCCTGTACGGAGCAGTGCGACGTATATAGGCTGTAACTTTAATAATATTTGTGTGTAATCGTAAGGAGCTGCTATATCTTATTGGTGGACTGCGCCACCTTTTCACTAAAGGGGATCGCTTCCGATTCGGCAGAAAGGCCATACAGAGCAAAGCCAGTCCCACAGGGTGTTTAATGCGTAGGCACTTCTTAGTGAATCCCACATAATCACGCATCCGGCTGCGTAGTATGCTATGAGCATTCACCACCTCCCTCTCCCGCTTCCGGAGGGTAGCCTTACTATGGGCGCAAAAAAAATTATTGGTGATCGTGAGTTCACTCTCTACAAGTCACTACGCTCACTCTGCTAGTAGCTGTAAGTACTTTAAGTGAAGTAAAATTACAGTGATTAGTTAATCAAGTAAATAAAAATTTAAATTGATGAAAAATAATTGATGACAGTGTCTTAACCCGGCGCCATTTTAACGTTACTTCATTTAATACAAGGGAATGCGATAAAATGGCGGTTACAAGGCCACAACTTAAAATTTTAACAACTTGAATATAAATAAATTATTTATTAAATGTATTATAATTTTTTACACACTTTACAATGCACTTAAAGTTATTGGTGTATTTGGACGCACAATAATTCTCAGCTCATTGAAACCGCATCAGGAATCAATTTGATGTTGTCAGTGACTCCTCGAAGATGCCAAGTTGCGTTGTAAAACGCTTTCGCCGGCAATAGGATCTTCGGTTCTCATCAGCACATGAATGCTGCATTTTACATTGGTTTTCCACGAGGAGTGATTAAATCCTACGCCCAGCTTGGAATTGCAGCCACGTTCAATTCTTCCATATGTCATTATCCTGACGTCACTGCTAGCTGTAATAAAGTAAATAAATAAAATTATTTACCTGCTTGTTAAGTACAAGTACATCCCTAGGGGTATAAGTTTCGGCTCAGTGGCATAGTGGCTACTAAAGAGATGCAGCGCTAAAGGTTGCGGGTTCGAATACCGCACGGAACATTTTTTTTATAGAATAAGGGTACAAACGAGCACACAGTACACCTGATGGTAAGTGGTTGCTATGGCCCATAGACATCTTCGTCTATCCTCGATTACGAATCAAAATACCGATTCGTTGACACGCGTGAGGACTAAGATGGAATGCCTCGTTTCCAGCATAAAGGATCTCCGGTTCTCTACACTCACCACACAGCAGTGTTAAGCTGCTATTTTACGCTGGTATTATGTGAGAGCGTGGTCCTCCCCGGTCGAACCGACCCATTCGTGCTACAACTATACTAATAATGTAGCTGCAGCGTGGCTCTACCACGTATGTTTAGCAAATTGTCGCCATTTTAGGACCCATAAAAACAAAATTTTGAATATAATTTTACGAATAAGACAATAGTTCAAGCCTATACAATTATCTTCAGTTTGACTAATGATCACTGTGCCCCAATGTGCTACTAATTTACTATATTTTTTATTTTCACCTATAAAATCGATATTTAGTTACCGTATTTAGTTATATTTACTTATTTTGTCCTTATATTATTTGGTTATTTTGATGGCGGGGCAAATTTTTGATAGAAAAAATATACAACTTTACCGTAAATCACTAATTATCACCGTCAAAACTCAACTCCAATTCCAGTATAATATTAATATGTAAAATATATTTTTTAACTCTGACATAAAATATCGCCAACATTCAATAAACTATACAATCTAGTCATCTAAAATAAAGTTCATTTTGTTTTAATTTCATTTGTAATTCCGTTCAAGAACGCTTTTCTTTAAAAGTTTCTTATAAGACAATATCTGTAGTGTAATAGTTTCCTCGCACGCCAAATAACAGCTGTAATAAAGCAATTATACAGCTTCTTTAAAGCTTGTACAACTACTGAACAGCGCTACTAACCCATAAAGCTGTATAATTTGTGCCAATTTTTTACTTATAAGAACTCTATAAGCGCTTATACAGTCTTTATAGTCGTACAGCCTCTAGAATAAAAACGAACTTCAATACAGATCGTATACAGCTTGCATGCTGCTTGGGTTATGCTGTCATTAAAAAAAACCGGCCAAGTGCGAATCGGACTCGCGCACCGAGGGTTCCGAACAAATCCGTAGGTATATAAGTTTAAAATTATTAAAAATATTTTTATTATTTGATGTAATTAAAAATTTTTGCTTTTCGCAATTTTTCCTTTATCTGTACTATAAAACGTTGCTTCGTACCAAATTTTAAGATTTTGAGTTCACGGGAAGTACCCTGTAGGTTTTGATTCCCTTGCGAATGTCGAAAATTTGCGGCATAAACGGCTGTAACTTTTGATTGAGTTGGCTTAGAAGTTTGATTTTTTCACAACTCCAAGGGACAGTAGACTTGAGTATTTGTTATGAATTTCAGCTTGATACCTCCAAGCGTTCCTGAGAAAAGGGTCTTGACAGACAGACATACAGACAGACGGACAACAAAGTGATCCTATAAGGGTTCCGTTTTTTCTAAAAACGACACCGATCAATTAGTCCTCATTTACATTGAAAAAATAATATATTTTTTCTTTTTTTCTTCTCAATGTTTACATGTATTTGTTGGTGAATGTTATGTACACTCGTTGTTGATATACATATCTGCGTATTACTTTTCAAATACAGTCAAACCTGAGTGAGTGAGAACTGAGTAAGTGAGAAAGCACAATGTAAACACAGAAACACAGAAGAAATTAACGGATTTTTTTAAGTAAGGTATGTTAGTTTTTGTTTGTAAAAACTATGTCACAATATTATTCCAATAAATGATACCCATACAATAGATACATTACACAGGTGGGATTGTGATCGTGTCCGTATAACCTCCATATCGTGTCGGTTTTGTTAGCAAATTTATGCAACAACGAGGAGTTTGTTGAATCAGGAAAATAGATTCTCTGCGCGGAAGCCGGGTCGGTTAATTGTTTGGGAAGTTAACATTGATTGCGATCAACGTCCGAATTTGAGTATGGTGCGCGCCTAATTACTATCGAAGATTTGGGTACCTTTAATACCGCCTCGAATTGAGTGTCTATTTAAGTGTTACGTGACAAGAGGCCTAATTTGAGTTTTGAGTGATTAAAGTAACTGATTACCAATATTGTTGCGCGACGGACGGCTTGTATTGAGTTTGAATTATTAACTTAATCTTGATTGACATTAATTTGATTCGACGATTTGCTTCGTGGCATTTTGATATCGTGCGAGTGAACCTGGAACATTGAATATTGAACCTTGAACGACGGTTCGTTACTTGTGTTGTGCTGCTCCGTTGAACTGTGAAGTCGCGCGAAAAAGGGGAGTTGTTAGAACCGCGTGTGCGCGATTATAATCTGTTGCTGAGTGAAAATGGAAGTTGAACCTTGATCGCCCGTTCATTAGTTAGGCCGTGTGTCACGTGTTTGATTTCGATGAACGTTGAATTGGTTGACTTTGAAGTTAATTATATTGTACAATAAAGTGGATAGACGAAATAGTGAAGTGTGAACGACTGCCGGTCGAAAGAACGCGTAGAATTTACTATTGGAGTTTTTCGCTTCTAATGTTTGGTTATCTTTAGTGCGTTCACGCGATAACGAAGCCGTAATATTTTGATTGATTAACTTAAATCCGTTGGCAAGTAATTTACGTAAATTGTATAGTGATTGCCTGTTGAAGCGCTTGACAATATTAATTTGCGTCGACGAGTTGCTTTGTGGCATTTGATGTAACTCGGAGATATTTTCCTGTGTCAGTTAAAAACGCTAAACTTGTGACCCGCGAGAAACAGCGTTCGTATTAGATTATAGATGTGTTATAAGGGACGTTAGACTTTAAGTGACATCGAGGTGACGCCGCTGGAGGATCCCACACCGTGTGGCGGTGCCGGAGTCAGGGCTGCTGCCGATTAAAAGGGTTAAGTCAGGTTTCAAATTTTACACACCACTAAACACCACTTAAATACACTACACCTACCGCCTGACCGAGCCTTGTGGCCAGTCTTCGCTTCTGAGCCAGGTACGTTCTTATTAATTACCTAGCCTTATATCTATTGTGTAGAATAATAAGTCTCCATAGGCCATTGGGCCCCACCCTTAGTTGTCCGTCGAATCTACCGCTGATAGGGCCCGGGATATTTGACATTTATCGGGACAGCTAGGGGCGTGTACAGTGATTAAGTACTAGCTTATAATGAGTAAAAAATACATGTTTATCACTACACATTTGCTGTATTTTTAAAGACCTCTATAAGTGCGGCAGACCTCTCCTGTACCTCTAAGCTAGAAACTCGGTTTAGTAGGAATCCTCCATAAGCGAAAAAGAGGTCGCGGTCCCTTGAACTCTCACTTATCCAGGTTCGACTGTAATTCAGAAGTGTGTTTACGAAATCAATAAAATAAAATATTTTGAACACAGTTATAGTACGAACACGGCAACACAAATGAAATATCAGCTTACCCTCACAGTTGCACTCTAACAATGGGACCCTGCCTGTCGTCAGGCAGTCCGTGCACTCTTCTAGTGTGAGCACGCACTTTGTTGGGCTTCTCAAAGCGGTGCTCGCATACGGGACATAGGTATCCATATCGTTTCCCAGTGTGTGCGTTGTGCTTGTGGATCTGCAGGAACTTGCGAGACTTCAGCCGTTTCGGACACAGGTCGCACTGGACATAATTAAACGAAAGATCAGGGTGCCTGTGTCGCGTATACAGCCGTGGTAGGCATATATCATCGTGAATGATTCGTTCATATGACCCGGATCGCATAAAAGTATTGATGTGTATTGATAATAACTGCCTCGTTTCCAGTAAAAAGGGTCTCCGGTTCTCTACACTCACCATACGAAACAGCAGCATTAAGTTGCTATTTTACGCTGGTATTCCGTGAGAGCGTGGTACTTCCCTGGTCGTGTCGACCCATTCGTGCTACAACTATACTATTAATATAGCTGCATCATGGCTCACGCATTATGAAGGATAACTCAAAAACTAGTGGTCAGATCTTCATCAAATTTATATGGGACCACATGAGCAGCACCAGCTTTCAAATAAAAAAATAATCATCGAAATCGGTTCACCCAGTAAAAAGTTACACACAAAAAAAACATGCAGTCGAATTGAGTACCGTCTCCTTTTTGAAGTCTATAGAAAATAAAATGAAATACGAACAAATGAAGGTATAACGGTAATCTCCCATTTGTTCTAGCAGTATAAAGTATCGCCTAGGCGGCTAAGAGGATCAGTCTGTAGTTCTACGAGTCTCGCTGTCGTTACTATGCCCGTTGGGGTATTGTACTAGTGTAGGCAAGGAAGGTCGTGTTGCCGAGATGCTGTCCTGTGTTACATTGAGATGCTGTTGGTTTGCATACTTTGACGTTATCGTGTAACTGGGTCCTGATAGTAAGCAGGGTTTGTTATCAAGTAGTGTTCTTTTATTTAAATTATTTTGAAAATAATGTTTAACATCAGATGTGGAATAGTTACTAAAACTATTGTATTCTAGACGAGAGATGGTCTGTTCTTCATTCTTTTATTACAGCCGTACGAAGTCCACTGCTGAGCAAAGACCTCCCCATAGATTGTCTCATAAGGAGAATATTTGCAATATTGCCACGGTTGGCAGGTGGGTTGGCAATTGCAGATTTTTAATTCCAATCTAATTAACAATCTAATTGGTGACGCGGGATCTGTAGGAGCCTTTTAAACAACTCACGCCGATCGATCACATTGTTGTTCAAATTAGTTCTAACAGATGGCGATAGTGTTTCTAATACGAAAAACGCGTTAAACAAATGTCCTGACGACTGTATCTTTTAAATTAATGGAGGCATTTAAAACTGTGAAATCATTCACATCTGTCCTGCTCTATTACTTTGTAAGAAATGGGAGAGGTCTGCAGCGGGACTCACCTGGAAATTTTTCTCTGGCAGGTGTATAGCGATGTGCTGGACCAGGTTCGACCTCCTGTGGAAGGTGGCGCCACAGTGGTCACACACGTAAGGCCTCTCCCCAGTGTGGCGCCTCTCGTGAATCTGCGGATGGTGATCTGCTGATACTGTGCCATATCTTTTTCTAGAATCATTATCATCATCATTATTACAGCCCATTACTAGTTTACTGCTGAACTAATTCTCCCCAAGAAATGTCACAAAGCATCGACTTCCTTATTGGGGGGTCGCCCCACACTTCGCCTACCGGTACGAGGCTGACACTCGAGAATCTTTCTTCTCCATCGGTTGTTGGTTCTTCGAGCTATATGGCCGGTCCATTGCCAATTCAGCTACTGATCCGATGGGCTATGTCTGGTTTTACTGCGGATATGCTCATTAAGAAGCCTATCACGCAGATACTCATACTTAATCTGTTCTACAGGAGGCATTTTATTTATAATTAAATAATGCTGCAGCTATATTATGGTTATAGTACGAATGGATCGACTCGACCGGGGAAGGACCACGCACTCACAAAATACCAGCGTAAAATAGCAGCTTGATGCTACTGTGTTTCATATGGTAAGTGTAGAGAAATGAAGATTCTTTTTACTGGATACGAGGCATTCCAACTTAGGGCCGTAGTCGTCAGGGGTGACAACGCATCTGCATTTTGATGCTTAATCGAAGATAAAATATAAATGTCTATAGGCCACAGCATCCAATTACCATTAGGTGGACTAAGTGCTCGTTTGTCAGCCATATTCTATCCAAAAAAAAAATTACATTGAAATGGTAACTGGTATACAGATTGAATAAAACTACTTTTGCGGATTCTATTCGCGTTTACTTGTTTTTTATTGATTCCCGACGTTACCGGTAGGCTCACGGGGGACTGAGGTGATTAACGTCCCGATGTCAGAGTTAACCCGGAGTACCTTCAGCTTTTTTAATTATTAATTTTGTTAATTCAATAAAAAACAAGATTATTTAAACGCGATAGAATCCGTAAAAGTACATTTATTCAATGTGTAGTATTCGCGTAAATATAAGAAATCATTATGGTATTTAGATTTTTTTTTAATTGTATTATGGTGCTAGATTTACCGTGAGGGCCTCCTTTGTGGCGGAGGTATAGTCGCAGTAGACACACTTGTGTATACGTCCAAGGCCGTGTCTCGCGCGCTTGTGTTCTTGCAGCTGGTTGTTGTTCCGGCACCTCTTGCCGCAAGACTGCAGACAAGGGACGAATGTGGACCTTCTTTATAATAATAATAATAATGACCTCCAGACCGTTTTCTACCAAGGTGATTCGCGAGGCTATCGACAACCTAAACTCAATAGAGAAGATGGCTAAGTGCTCCCACGTGCTTGGGTTCCCATCTAATATTAAAAAAAAAAATTGTTTGTTCGTATTTTATGCGCTGCTTCGACAGTCGGATCGCGGTAAAACTTTGTCAAATTATTGCTTGCACTTGCGCGAAGGTTATAGGCGTAGTACAATTAACTTACAGTAGGTGGCGCGTATCGTACCGACAAATTTGAAAGTTGTATATCATTCAACTTCAACGAATATATTATCATTCCTAATTAAACAATATAATTCTTCCGAAGAACAAAGGGAGACTTTGATACATAAAATTAGTTGAGAAGGAATGGTGGAAATCTATATATCAAAAATATCTTAAAATGTTAAGCGTCAGTCCCTAATAACTCTGTCAAAGAATTTTGTCCCGAGAAGGCGTCAAAAAAAGATATTTAGATTTGAACCTTTTTAGGTTATGTCTTATGTCACTTGGAAAAAGTCATGCGTCCTGTGGTTGTTTGATGTTAGCAACATCTATAGTATTAATGTTCGATCCCCGCCGGCAACAATGAAATTGTTAATTATAATTTTAAGTACTGATTTACCACGTGCTCGGCGGTGAAAGAAAACATCGTAAGGAAACCTGCATGTCTGAGAAATAAGAAAAAAATATTTCGAACACATGTAAAGTTCGCCAACACGCATTGGGGCAGCGCGGCGGCCACTTCCTTGCCCTAAAACCCTCTCAGAAATGCGGGGAGGCCTGTGCACAGCAGTGGGACGTATATAGGCTATAAATTTAGTTTTTTTTTTAATACCTAGGCATATAAATAAAATTGAAGTATCTGTCTGTAACATGGGCATAACTGCCTTTTATTAAGCTGATGGAGCTATTTGCATACCCTTAACACATGAATAGATATTTTACCACGTTTTTTACCAAGTTTTTATTAAGTCGCTTTCGTGTATGACTGTTCGGGTAGAGTTTAATAATTGTGTTTAAACTAACTTCCCGATGAGCTAGATACGTGAAATTTTTAACATAGCTCAGAATCGGATGACAATGTAAAAGTATGAAAAAAAACGTGGTATATTAAAAATTTCCCTTGTTTAAAATTTATCTCTGTCTGTTTGTCTAATCTTCAGAATGTCTTAACCGAAAGTAATGAAACTTCAGAAACAGATAGAAAGCAATGCCGCGAGTGATCTAGGCACCTGTGAAATTGTTAATTGCAATTTCAAGTGCAGATTTACCACGTTCTCCTCTCCGCACTGAAAGAAAACATCGTGAGGAAACCTACATGTCTGAGTAATAAGAAACAAAAAAAAATATTTCGAAAACATGTGTAGTTCGCCAATACGCATTGGGGCCGCGCGGCGGACACTTCATTGAGAGGAGGCCTGTGCCCAGCAGTGGGACGTATATATGCTGTAACTTTAACTTTTGCCAAGTAGGTCGCGACAACTGCACTTTTGAAGATGCTGCTGCCCATCTCCTGTTTCAGTTTCCCTCTATCGCTTCTGTTACGCAGTCACCATACAACATCATTCTGGATTCATCATCATCATCATTACAGCCCTTTACAAGTCCATTACTGAACATAGGCGTCTCCCAAGACATGCAACAATGCAAGTTCCCGAGCCATCTGGATCCATCGACGTCCTGCATGTCTTACCAGATTGTCACTTCATATAGTGGGCTACCACTCGAGAACCTTTCTTCCCCATCTGTTGTCGGTTATTCAGTTCTGGATTAAAGCAATAATAATTTAGGCTACAGACCAACCTCACACACACAGTAGTTGGTGTGGAACCTCATATGGGCCTTGTACGTCGCCTTCATGCGGAACTCCTTGCTGCAGAATCCGCACTGGTATGAGGACGCATTGGCCGCCGAGCCATTCTTCAATTTAGTGATCACTGCTTTTGACTGAAAATCAGAATGCTAATAATAATGTCAAAGGAGTATAGCAATCTCCGCAGGACAGCATTACAGTTTACGAGTGTGTGAACAGGCACAGGTGCACTCTCTATTCACTCACTCACGTAGTTTGATGGGACTGCAGATCGACACGAACGGAGATAAATCAGGCACAGGACCAACGGCTTTACGTGCTTTCTGAGACACGGGGGCCAACTTTCTGACTCTGAGCTGCTACTAAAAAATATCGGGACAGAAAAGCCCAATAATTTGGTATTCGAATTCAGGACCACATGATTGCGTCGCGTTTATGACCACTAGACCAAAGAAGCTGTCAAAGTCAGTCAGTATACGAGCAAGCCGGCTTCAATCCCTCCAGTACTGACTGGGCAAAGTTATTCCTTCATTCATATCCAAAATATCCTGTTGAACATAGACCTCCTACATATTATATTGGAAATTTTTACCACAGTTGCCATGTTTGGTCACTGTACAGGCAGTTTATTATTACTTATTCAGGTTCGTCCCAGGACAGAGGTATTTTCCGAACCAGTGATAAATAAAAAATGACTTCCAATAAGTATTATGTAATAATCAATACTTAATAAAATAATCATTTTATTCTATTCTATTCTAATCACGCCGCCACTACACGGCACGTGAATAGGGATGGGTTGTGCTTAATATAATTTTCACACTTACACTTTTCTAATAGCTGTACTAAGTGTTTTTTAATAGTAGTAACGGCTCATGGCGCAATGAGTTGCAGCGCTGGGGGCCGCGGGTTTCAATCCCGCAGGGAACACCTATTTGTACGGCCTACAAATAATTGTTATGAGTCTGGATGTTTGTCCTTGTGCAATTTATGTTTGTAAACTGCCTTCACACACACGCACGCACGCTCGCACGCACGCACGCACGCACCCACGCACCCACGCAGGCACCCACGCACACACGCACACACACACACACGCGCACACACGCACACACGCACACACACACACACACACACACACACACACACACACACACACACACACACACACACACACACACACACACACACAGAGAGAGAGAGATCCCAGATTTAAATTCTGTCTCTTGCCCAAATCAATTAATGGGTTTATTATCAGTAAAAATCTCAGTAATGCGATGCCGTCTCATTGGACTATGAGAGTGTAAGAATAGAGAGTGCACCTGTGACTAGGAACTTGTGCTCTGTAATTCAGTGCAGATGACAAGCTTCTATTGAGATTGGTTGTTTTGACCGAAATTCAGGCTTGAGGACATTATTAAAAACATAAACACTCACACCTGTCACTCAGACCGGTAGGCAGAGACTACGGACTTCCATTTTGTATGATCCTGACACACCTCTCTCGCCTCCTTTACATACATATATCTACAAATACACGCTCGTCGGTTAAGGGTACTCCTAGTCAGGCCTATTTTCAATATATCTCCAATTTGGTCGATAAACCTTTGTCTAGGGTGACCCTTCCTAACTCTGCCGTTCACTTCTACAACATAAATTTGCTTTGTCACTCATTTGTCGTGTATTCTTTCTACATGACCAAACCACCATAGCATTCCTTTCTTATTCCTGGTCACAACGTAATCTTGCAAACCACTCTTCTCTTATCACACAATTATTAAAAACAGCAGCAAGCAAACTTACCTCTTTTACTTTTGGTTTAACCTCATCCTCGACCGCAGAACAATCATAATCCATTGAATAATCAGCATCAAAGAAATCATAAGAACAGTCTTCTACAAGCTCTTCGGCTTCACTTTTCTCAATTCTTGGACTCTTTCTTAGACTGTGTTTCCGTTTGGAGTATTTCTTTTTCACTTTCACACCCGATGTCATGTTCAGAAGGGTTTTTTCTGCCTTTCTACTCTTTCTCCTAAACTGTAACGCAGCTTGCATTGATTCAATGCACTGATTGCAGATTTTTTGTGACAAGCCATCATTTAACTTAATCTGAAATAAATAAAAGAATTTTTTTAAATTTTTTAAGATAATAAAATTGATAACTTTCTAAAATATTCTACTGTTATAGAGGCAGTAGTATGACTTCCAAAATATTATTGACCTCGTTTAACTGCATTTAATTTACTACATATTTTCGTCAAGCGTACAGCAAAGGAGCAGCAAAAGTAGCAAAGTTGCCAGCATCTGTCTTTCCATCCGATTATAATGTGGGTGTCTTCAGTCTTCAGCTGCATCATCACTTACCATCACGTGGGATAGTAGTTAAGAAAGGCTTAGAATAATAAAGATAAATTTTATGAAAAAAACATCCCTTTGTTGGGTTGGAAAATTTTCAGACCACCCACGTATATGTAAAATAAAATTATAATTATAACAATGTATCTTGTTCTTCTCCATAAACATGTTAAAGCTCACTGCTGGCTATATGTCTCTCCCAGTGTAGAGGGTTTACCACAATTGTCCTGCTTGGCAGGCCTTTTCACCTTTCCACCTTTTGTATATACATGTCCCAAAATTCAATTTGCCTAAGCTGTAGGCATGTTGCTTGTCGTTTAGCGGTCAGTTCATTTGTGCCGTCTGCATCGTCTTTAAGAGAAAGGCTGTGACGCTAATGGGTCTATAGGATTTTTGGTCTGTACCACTCTCTGTCCTAAATTCAACTCTTCTTAGCAGCCCGTGGTTGGAATCAGTATATCTTCGTGCAATTTCACCCCCTGAGTTACCGCGACATGTATGGCTACCACTGGCTGCATGAGAACTACACAAACAGCAGCCTTACACATACAACTAGAAGCGACATTAGCTGCCATTCGATTAGCTTGCCTCCTAAATCTTTGGAGAAAGTATAGTACCTCATACAGGTATATTTGATAGAATTTACACCAAAATTCCCTTTCCTACAAGCCAAGTACGAAAAGATACCCAAACAACTTGTGTTTGATAAGAAATTTATGCTACAATTAAATGAAACTAATCAGCCTGAGGAATTAAACCCAAAAGGCCTTAGAATTTTCATGGATGGTTCTAAAACAAATAAAAGTGCAAGATCTGGAACTTTTTCGGAAAACCTCAACATCCATATATGTACACTACTAGATACCCTCAACACAGTATTTCACACTGAATGTATGGGTATTATTCAAGCAGCCATAGCAATGGATGCCAGGAAGGTAAAAGACTTTTCCATCAGAATACTGTACGACAGAATGGCGGTACTACAAGCTCTGAGTTGCAATGTGGTGAACTCGAGACTAATATATGAATGCCATTAACAACTAAAACTAAATGAAGTATGTAAATATAAGAAAAAGAGTCTGTAATGGATCAAGGGACATAGTGGATCCAGAAGTAACGACTCAGCAGACAACCAATATAAGGATACTGATGATACTGATTCTGAATTCTGATTTCTTCAAAGAAATTTCATGGCTCGACCAATCATAATATTCTTGCCCACACGCAAAAAACGCACTTAGACGTGGAGTTGCAGAAAATAGCCCCTTGCAAACTAAACTAATAAAAAACTGCAGTTGCCAATCTGCCTTGCAATTATGGCAAAATGTTCCCTGTAAAGCAATCTATGGGAGAGGCCTATGTTCAGCAGTGGACCTTTATAGCCTGTAATGGATGGATGGATGCTTGTGTATTATGGATATACCTTAAATAAATGAAATAGCAGCTGTTGTCATGTATAGTGACTGACAAGAGCTGGAGACCCTTTTAACTGATAATGAAGTATTCCATTTTAGTCTTAAGGCAAGGCCCACCACATGAGCACATTTGCATTTTGATTTTGAATCAGAATATGTCAGGTGTCTAAAGACCAGAACATTTACGTACCATCAGGTGGACTTTGTGCTTTCTACGATTCTTATAATGCTTATCAAAAATATTTTGCTATGAAATTCTTTATGATCTAGGTGACATCTTTCGATAACTCCCTGTCAAATCCATTTGATAGTTGAAATATGGAATAGACAGCTATAGAATAAGTAATTGTAAAGTATATTTAAGTTTGTTTAGTTTATTTTGCGTTACATTTGAATATTTGGTAAATTGATCAACTGATGTTGATGATTGTTATTGAGATTTCTCATACTTGACCCAAAATTAAGTATGAAAAATCTCCCATGTTTGTTTACATTTTTTCTAATTTCATTTGAAATAGACTGTAAGTCATTGTTGAAATAGTTCTATTTGATACAATTATATTAATTTTAAATGTATACTAAAAAAAGAAAAACAGGATCCAACAAACTGTTTTTACAGTTTGGGGAAGTTATAAAATTATGTAACATTTTTGTAAATGTTAGTAAATAAATAAAAAAATAAGTATTTTAAGAATGGAATATCTTTATCTATCTTTATTCTGTGATGTTATTGCTGGCTTTTACAGCTTCATCTGATACAGGACTCGTGGCCTGAAAGACCTAGAAGGGAAAGGCAATGATGATGATTATGATGGTTTAAGATTTGGTTTGGTACAACTTTCCATTGACGTCCGTCGAGTTTGGTGTATTTTTACAGAAAGATTGCATTTTTATAAGCACACACAAAGTTTCAATATGCGGAAACATGTACTTTTTGAGAGAAAAGTATTGAAAATCAAATAATTTTGCAATATTTATGTCAATTCCTACCTACTATGAAACTGACGCCATTTTTTATTATTATTGTCAGTAGGGATGTCGATTCTTTCCGAAAAAGATCGAGTTTTTAAATAGATTCGAATTGTAAGCTGATGTATCGATTTCTAAAATATCTATATTTTTTTCATGTTTGTTTTTATAATGTAAATATAAATCCATTTTATGAGAAAAAAATTCCCTTTGTCATAAAAAAATAAAGGGACTGATTCAGAAGGATTTCTGTATCTATTTTGAGACTGCTATGTCTCCGGCTCTATAAAACCACTCTAGGGGTAGGACAGACTCGTACCAGGTGGAGTTGTGGTCAATAAATTCGGTTCTTTGACATAAGTTGAACCTAACCTATTTTATTTGTTATCTCCCCTAATAGGTACTGTTAAATAAAACAAATTTCAATAAGAGATCATTTATCATGGTATCTTTCTTGTTTTTCATAAAATGGGTTTATACATTATAAATAGAAACATTAAAAATATATAGATATTTTAGAAATCGATTTAAAAATCGACCTTTTTCAGAAATAATCTACATCCCTATTGACGTCGACAATGAGATTACAAAATGGCGCCAGTTTTACGGTAGGATTAGACATAAACATTGCAAGAATAATAGATTTTCAATAATTCTTTTCTCAAAAATTATGCGTTTCCGCATGTTGAAACTTTGTGTGTGTGCTTATAATAGTGTAACTTTTCTGTAAAAATGCGTATCAACACCCAACTCGACGGATGTCAATAGAAAGCTAAGCCTTTGGTTTTGTTATGCATGTCCCTTCTGTGGGTTTTATTTGAGCTATTTGACCGCACTCTGAGTGGGGGAGTGCTGCCTCTGAATGCTTAGCTTGTGTTGATCAATGTTCTACGGGTGTACTGTGTGGTCATTGCATTAAATGTGGGTGTAGTGTCATTGTTTGATGTACCTGCCACGTTTGGGTCGAGGATCAAGCAATTGTGGTAGTTCTATGAGTATGTTTTGCAGTCTAGGGAACGTTCCCTAGACTGCAAAACATACTCATAGAACTACCACAATAACAAACATTAGGCACGATGTTTGTTATTGCGACGTAGTTGGCTGCGTTCGCCACTTGCGGATTTGGATGGGTATCGGCACTATCAAAGTAGCACTGAGACATCTTAAAATATTCAGAGATAGAGGAAGAATGGAACATTAATTATTTTCATTGATGTTGTTCTGAGCACACTATCTTACACAATAAAGATATATAAACGCTCAAAGCATTTAATTTAGTATATAAACAGTTAAAAAAAAGAATAAAATTGCGAAAAACTGGTTATTAAGTACTTTATTGAATTCATAAATTACCTCTAAGCCTGTTACCAGCCGTAAATCCTCCGATCTCTTATCTTCCAATTCTTCACTTTCAAAAATTGGAACTAGGTTTTCAGTGCTCAAACAAGTCCTACATATCGAAACCTCAGGTTCTTTTTTCTCCGATATTTTTGGTTTCGTCAGTCGTCGGGTGGCCCTTCGCCGCATACTCATTCGATTTATTAATAGAACAGCTAGCATCCTTGTAACACTTATATTTTTTTTATTTTAAAAATACATGATATAAATAATACAACTTCTCTTGGTTTCCTGTTTAAAAACTGTTTATGAATTTCAATTGACGTTAATAAATTATAATATAAATTATATATAAATTGATATTGTTGTTGTTGTTGTTGTTTTTATTATTCGCTCGAAAGAGCAGGCAAAGGAACTATGCCATACAGCCTTGTCTTTTTTATTTTGAATATATAGAATTTCACTGCTTCACAATATGTTGATGCGTCACATTGTGCAGCCCTTGGGAGATTTTGACGGCAACTTGAGCCAGCGGACAGCTGTTGGCGATGGTATCTAAAGGCGCCTATGCAAACAAACCGCTTATCTTGAGAATCCATCACCATCAGAGCACTTGTTTCACCGTTTCCACTAATAGTTCACATGCGTAGACAGTTGATACATAAAATCGCACCACTTTTACATACCAAATTCCACTTCAAACTATTATTTAAACTATAATACAGGAGCAGCAAACCGCCGACGGCCAAGTTCCCGCCAAAACTCCTAAATTGATATTGATAATAACAAATAATCACAACACCAGTGTTGCCTCGTAAAAATCTATGTTGCCGTTGCCGTATGTCACAGTCTGCTTTGCTGTATTTAAGGGGAAAAGTTACTAAACTGCCGTATTTTTAGTTATTTGTTTTTAAAATGTCTATTCCTTAATTTTTTCTTCTCGGTAAATGTTCCTTATCGTTTCTAACACTTCGGTTTCATGTTTACCTAGTGAGTATTTATCCTCGGTTTTCATTTTTTTTTACAAACTACTCTAAATATTTTATTCCCATATTTTTGTTTTGCATTATTAGTGATAAGCCATAGTTTAGTTGTTTTCGCCGCGAAAAAATGAATACTGAATTATCGCCGAGATATTTGCTTGGCCTGCTAGCAGCTTTGGAAATAGTAGTTAGTATTAACAAGAATATAATCGAAGTTTTCGACACTTATTCTGGTATATCATCAATATATATGGATATCATCAATAATTAACTCTAAACAGAGCTGTGTTGGCATTTTCTTAGACTTAGCCAAGGCTTTCGACACTGTGTCAATTCCAATACTTTTAAAAAAATTAAACTATATGGGTGTTAGAGGTATTGCCGGTAATTGGTTTCAGAGCTATCTCATGGACCGGAAACAGTGTGTGAGGATTGGTCGGGCTGTGAGTCTGCCACAAAATGTACCTTTTGGTGTACCGCAGGGCAGCATACTTGGTCCTACGTTATTCACTGTCTATATCAATGATATGCATGACCTAACCATGGAAAACGCCCAAACGATATGTTACGCCGATAATACTGCTATCGTATTCCATGGCTCAACGTAGAACGATGCTTTGTACATTGCTGAAAGAGGTCTAAGACAGGTCTTTAGTTGGCTACAAAGTAATCTTTTGACCCTAAATACCAAGAAGACTGTGTACCTATGCTTTCATAAGACAGCAGTCACTGTACAACACGCCAGTACAACAAACAGTAGTTAAGATTCATGAGCCTTCTTGCACAAGCAAATCGTGTGCCTGTGAGACCTTGAGTAGATCGGATGTAATTAAATATCTCGGTGTCCTCGTTGACGATAAAATGACATTTGAAAATCACAAAATAGCTCTTTCGGCTCGAGTCAGGAAGGTTATTGGTGTTGTAAAGCATCTGCGGGACATAACAGGATTAAATACTCTAAGATCTGTGTATTTTGCATTATGCCAGTCGCTTATTATTTACTGTATTACTTGCTGGGGAAATGCAGCAAAAACTTTCCTGATCAGAGTTGAGAGAGCGCAACGTTCGGTTATAAAATAATGTTAAAAAAGCCGTATAGATATTCAACTTTTGATTTATATAAGGACTGTGGACTATTAAATGTAAGACAACTTTTCATATTGAAGATCTTCCTAACTGTTCATAAGTGTAGTCTGGCATCTCCAGAGTATAAGACATTATTGAAACGAAGAGTATTCCGCTTGCCAACTCCCGCTATCAACTCTGCTTTTTCTAAACGTTTTGGGCAATTCGTGAGAACTCAAGTGTACAACTCCGTCCTTAAGTATTGCGATATAAATGAAAAATCAGTGGTGGAAGCTAAAAGAACCATAACAAAATGGTTACTTACTCTGAGCTATGATAGTACAGAAAACCTAATTAAACCGTAATCTTTATCATAAATGTACGTAAATAAAATATATGAATACAGTATGTAATATCCATATGTATCTATAGGAGTTTCTAATTTATATATGTTTTATTAATTATTGTAATATTAATGAATAACAGTATTTCTTTACTAACAATTTATTAATTTACCTCTAATTATTTTATTTTTATACATATTAACTTAATATAAATATTTATTTTATTTTATTTTAAAAACAAAAAGCTTACATAATGTAATAACCGTACGTCGACTCAGTGTCAATTAATGAAAACCATAAGAAAATCGTATCAGGCCCTCACGACACAGGCATGCCTAGTGTGAGGACCACAGAACTATACACCCTTGTTTATACACTCCAGCTTAGTTGGTGTGATAAGATCATAGTTTATAATTGTATACTAGAAAATTAAGACTACTGTACTTCCATTTTATTATCATCTTATATTGTATATTATAATCTGTACCACCTTAGCTGTAAATAAACATTTTTTCATTTTCATTTTTCATACTCGAAAAAATTTTCTGGATACATTCTATAATTCTCGTACTCCACAATCCTTCCAAATATTATGTCTTGAACCAAAAAACGATTATTTTCTAAGCAATATCGTGATAACTTTGATAAAGACATGTTACTCTCGGCCTATCTGGTCGTGACGGCGAACCTGACTGCCCGTGGTCCTCAAACCAGGCCGCGCGAATTGTCGCCCCGTCTGCCGCTTCGCCGTTCGTGCCGCCGATCCCCATGGCCAGGCCGTAAACTATTTTGTATCCTTATACTATTCGCCGCGTCTGCCGCTCGACTCCGTGGCTTGCTTGCGTCGTACTGATTCATGCCTTTGTTTCGGTCGCCCGCCGCGCCATCAGTCGCCCGCGCGGTTCGCTCGGTAAATTTCGCCAGTCGCTTCCAGTCGCTTCGCCACTCGCCGCTGCGTGTGGCTTGATCCGTACATTTCTATACATTTATTTTAGTCGCTAGACGCCTCGTCGTTAGCACCGCGCGAATATTCGCTATGGCGAAGGTCCCGTGGCCAGGCTGTTAGACTACACATAATGAAAGGGACTGTTAGTTTATATAAGTACACGTAGGCTATTTTAGAACATAAATAAAAACATTTTTGACTAGCAAAATCAATTTTATTTACACAATCTATCATTATTTATTGCATAATGTCTTAACGACAATTTACACTACTGTGAAAGTATGGCAGAAAAAATTATCACTTTTTTGAGATAATAATAAATACGAATACGAATAATAAATGAAAAAAAAAATGTAAAATACTAATTTCCTCTCGATGAGGACCTCCACAACTCTGTGTGACACTAGGGTGACGCCATTTTGGAATGAGGTGAAATAATTGACATTTTCGTGGTGAGAAAGTTAACTTATTAGAAAAAATGAATGTTTCTTTCTGAATATTTTATATTAATTAAATTATATTTTTTTTTATAGGAGAGGGGGCAAACGAGCATGCGGCTCACCTGATGGTAAGTGACTACCGCCGCCCATGAACAACTGCAACACCAGGGGAATCGCAGATGCGTTGCCGGCCTTTTAAAAAGGAGTACGCTCTTTTCTTGAAGGTCCCTAAGTCGTATCGGTCCGGAAAAATCGCTGATGGTAATCGATTCCACAAGGAGGTCGTGCGAGGAAGAAAACACCTTCTAAATCGCACAGTGGTGGACCGCCAATCATCCAGATGGTGTGGATGGTATCGGGAGTTCTACCGCGATGTGCGTTCGTGAAATTTGGCGGCTGGGATTAATCCGAACAATTCCTCAGATTTTCTTTCGCATCTACCATGGGGGCACTCCCCAAAATGCAAAGGGATGCAACATCTCTTCGCAGTGCCAATTAATCGAGCCGATCGGAAAGGGCTCGGTCGTCGACGATTCGAGCAGCTCTGCGTTGGATGCGGTCAAGTGGAAGGAGCTGGCACTGGGGAGCCCCTGCCCAGAGATGGGAACAGTATTCCATGTGAGGCCGAACTTGCGCCTTGTAAAGTTGCAGGCGGTGTGCCGGCATGAAATACTGTCCCGCTCTGCTGAGCACGCCAAGCTTTTTAGAGGCCAATTTGGCCTTCCCTTCCAAGTGACCACGAAACTGCACGTCACTCGATATGTCGACTCCGAGGATACCGATACTGGCTGAGGCAAGAAGGGGAGTGCCTTGAAACTGAGGACATACGACAAAGGGGTTCTTTTTAGCGGTAAACGCGCAAACTTGTGTCTTCTGAGGATTAAACTGGACTAGATTTAGTCGCTCCCAATCCGAGACTTTGCTCAGCAAAGACTCGACTTCAGACACAAGTTTGTTCCGGTAAATGTGTAAAAATTAAAGAAAACAACACTGATGCATTGTTTTGTGAACACGTATAGGCACATACACTAGAGACCGAAATAATTTTAGTTAAACACAAATTTTTATGGATAAATGATGACACTGATTATCGTCAAATGATTTCACCTCAGTCTCAACTAGCGACATCTGGTGAGCGTAATATTATTATTAGCCCTCATTTTTACGAAACACCTACTTTACACTTAAATTTTTAAAAAAAGCTAACTACTTACTAAATAGTTAGTAAAGTGCACTAAAAAGTTTTTGTGCAATTCGACACTGAACAAAACGATTTTGTGAACCATATTTCATAAATATAATACAAATAATCAATAACCATCGTTTTAAAAGAGCCATGATGATTATAATTTGTTTTTATAAAGACCGTGAACCCACTTCAGTTTGCTGTAATGTGTTCTAATCTCAAATCATCAAACAATAAAGCAGACAGGCTGAGCGCTGCCTGCACGTCAAGTGACGCAGAAACCATGCTCAAATTCTTACACACACTGACGCAGATATCTATTTTCTTTCTCTCTTTATCCTCCCGACAAGTCCACGGCTGGTCGCACACATATGCACTTAAAACATGTTGTTGGTTGCATTGACCTACTACTAAATGGACCTCGAGTCAGCGCTCAAGTGTCCGAGCCGAAACAGTTCAAATATGCAAAAAGAATACCAATCAAATTGCCATACCGGATTGTAAAAACTTGCAAAAAAAACACCTAAGTAAAATGAGAAAAGAGGAAGGCATATCAAATTTTTCGTAAGGACTATTAATATTGAATCATTTAAAAGTAATATTATGCTTGGATACATCTGGGGGCACGGCAGAGCCCCCGCCAAGTCGAGCAAAAAAGCGGCACGGCCGTACCATCCTTTTCTCGAAGCATTTCAGGCCATTTTCGACCCCTTGTCTTCGTTGTGGTTAAAAGTAGAAGCCTGAATTTTCAGTAGGCAAACAGGCATTGTATAAACACCGTATATTTCAAATTTCATTCAATTTAAACCAGTAGTTTAAGAATTATAACTAGTCAGTTTCTTAATTTTGTCACTCACTGATTGACCGATCATCAAAACTCTAAGGAACTTCTAGCAGACGTAGAAGCTTCAAATTTAGAATACAATTAGTGTTTATTGTATAAATCAAGGAAAAATTAAAATATTTTGTAATTTCGGTCCAGTTTTCTAGATACACAACTGCATAAATAACTTTGTAATCCTTTATAAATATGTAGGATTACAAAGTTACATTTGCAGTGAATGAATCAGTGTACCTGTATATGTATAATATAATGGAATAATAGATGTAGATAGGTAAATAGATATAATTATGTTCAAAGGTAACTTGTAAAATGGTCAACAGAATGAAAAAGGAAGAATGGGACATGTCTTGTGAAGTTGTACTAAAATCCCGCAAAGTATTAAGTAGACTAAATTGCCCGAAAATCCGTAGTTGGTATTCAAGAAGTAGATGGTACCGGAAAATAAAAAAAAATAGGTCTATCTACAAAAAAAATGAGATGCCATCAAAAACATAACTTTAAAAAAAACCAAGTCTCGTAACTTAGTTTTTCTACCATAAAATGTTCTGAGATCCATGTAATACCAAGTCGGTTAATTTATTCAGTCCCTACTTAAGGGTCCTTCTGTCTCAAGTTATTACGTAATTAGCTAACCTAACATCATCTTATAGTGACCATATCGATATTAAAAATCTTTCATGTTTTAAATAATTAGATTGACTTGGCAATCGCACTAAACAATCTAATTTAATATAATATGTATTACTTGTGAGATACATTGTGTTTTCATGCGATGGCCAAGTCAATTTATGTATTTAAAACATAAAAGATTTTTAATATTGATATGGTCACTATAAGATGATGTTAGGTTAGCTAATTACGTAATAACTTGAGACAGAAGGACCCTTAAGTAGGGACTGAATAAATTAACAGACTTGGTACTACATGGATCTCACAACTTTTTATGGTAGAAGAACCGAGTTGCGAGACTTGGTTTTTTTTACAAGTTATGTTTTTGAAGGCATATTATTTCATTTAAATATTAATCATAAAAACAATTTAACGTAATTTTCATTCGTTCGAGAAGCTTCACAAGGTGACGACAGTGCGAACTCTAGTCCAAGTTAAATAAGCTGATAAATTGTTGCAAGTAAAATTGAGCAGTTTTCTAGTGATTATATGGTTTGAATTAGGATGTTATAGTTTTTTTTTTATTTCTATACATGTACGTACGCTTATATAGGTTAACTCGGGACACATTTTTATGAATTTTGTTTTCCATGTTCAGTCCATTTAGTAGTTCTTTGCTCAATGGTTGGTTGCCAAATATTTTAGGTGCATATGCTTGAGTTTTAATTCTACTTATTTTATTTTAATAGTAATAAAATGTGCATACCTATATAACAAAGTTAATTATTTATTCAAATTGAATTGCTGCATATTTTTTCAAAATAAAAATACTGTAATATGTTGAATGTAATAAAAGGCTTTATTTATTTTTCTTTTATTTATTTACGTATATACATGAATGCGTGTTCTTACAATAAGACGAGCATGGTTGTGACCTAGTTGTGACGTGTGTTAAAATAGACGCAGTGTTCCGTCTATTGTTCTTTGTTAGTCTGAGGTACCAGTATAAATGGCGGATGGCACGAAATATTCTTTGGTAAGCTTCTTAGAAATACAATTAACAATAGAGATGTGCGTTGTGTAAGTCTAATATTTATACATATGCTTTTTTATTACTTAGTTTATCCAGTTCAACTATCAAATCTAGTATTTATTGTCTCTAACAACGAAATTTTAAATAATTTAAATGTGTTTTATTTTTGGGTTAATTAAAAACCTAGTAGAGGTTCATTTGTCAATTATTCAACGGTCCGAGGAACCTCATTTTGATATTAGATTGACGCTGGACCAACTAAATTTAATTTTTTTACACCGAAAGGGAAAGAACTATATAATTCTACGAATTATCAGCCTATATAAAGTAGAACATTGCAGGGCAGGGTTCCTTATTCAGAGTAAATTATTCTATTCATCTATATAAATAAAATGATAGAGATTTGCAGTTGTTTTTTTTTTATTTTTTTTTTATTTTATAGGAGAGGGGGCAAACGAGCATGCGGCTCACCTGATGGTAAGTGACTACCGCCGCCCATGAACAACTGCAACACCAGGGGAATCGCAGATGCGTTGCCGGCCTTTTAAAAAGGAGTACGCTCTTTTCTTGAAGGTCCCTAAGTCGTATCGGTCCGGAAAAATCGCTGATGGTAATCGATTCCACAAGGAGGTCGTGCGAGGAAGAAAACATCTTCTAAATCGCACAGTGGTGGACCGCCAATCATCCAGATGGTGTGGATGGTATCGGGAGTTCTGCCGCGATGTGCGTTCGTGAAATTTGGCGGCTGGGATTAATCCGAACAATTCCTCAGAGCACTCCCCATGGTAGATGCGAAAGAAAATGCAAAGGGATGCAACATCTCTTCGCAGTGCCAATGAATCGAGCCGATCGGAAAGGGCTCGGTCGTCGACAATTCGAGCCGCTCTGCGTTGGATGCGGTCAAGTGGAAGGAGCTGGCACTGGGGAGCCCCTGCCCAGAGATGGGAACAGTATTCCATGTGAGGCCGAACTTGCGCCTTGTAAAGTAGCAGGCGGTGTGCCGGCATGAAATACTGTCCCGCTCTGCTGAGCACGCCAAGCTTTTTAGAGGCCAATTTGGCCTTCCCTTCCAAGTGACCACGAAACTGCACGTCACTCGATATGTCGACTCCGAGGATACCGATACTGGCTGAGGCAAGAAGGGGAGTGCCTTGAAACTGAGGAGATACGACAAAGGGGTTCTTTTTAGCGGTAAACGCGCAAACTTGTGTCTTCTGAGGATTAAATTGGACTAGATTTAGTCGCCCCCAATCCGAGACTTTGTTCAGCAAAGACTCGACTTCAGACACAAGTTTGTTGTGCGCGCAACACGGAAATACTGCTGGAGATATTTCAATTAGTCTTTCTAAGTTTTATTTCTCAGACACCTGGCCCTTATCTAAAAAATAAAATATTGCGATATCTTCATTTAATATAAAGTTATTAAAGTTTTAAGAATCAACGATTTTCATACGAGGTTTTTCACACGGTCCACTGTACGTCGCTTGCTCTCGCGTTACTAACCCAGATAATTTATATAATTTAGCTACAAACGGAGCAACAAATAAAACTGTTTACAAAGAAATTTTATATTTTTGATGTTTTCTCCTTCGCACATACGAAAACTTTGTTATTAAGCAACGCGGACGAGTTCACGGGTATCAGCTAGTTGTTATATAAAAAGATAATTTCAGTAATATAACTAACTATCGATTCGCCCCGGCTTTGCACGTGATTTATGAATCTGACAACACCGCCACATTTGTTCGTTTGGGAACCACCCAAACACAAACATTTTCATCAAAATCGGTCCAGCCGTTTAGGAGTTCAGTAACAAACACACATGTAAAATAATTATAGTATATATATATAGACAATACATAATAACTACCCACAATAATTTAAAACTTTGTTTTACAGCATTTTGCCGCTCGTTCAACAGAAGTGATAAACATAACCTAACTTAAAGTAATTAATTCTTTGGTGTCATTGAGACAAAAAATTAGGAATAAGCTTCTTCAGACTTCCGCTGCTTGGCTCCTGGAACAGACTCTTGACGAACACCACCTGGAATTTTTTTTATTTATTTATATATATTATATATAAACATAAAATATATTCGCATACGTTCTAATAATGTATATAAAAAAATAATATAAATTCTGAAAATATTAAATAATAATATATATAATAAATAATATAATAATAAATATCTATCATATACCTGGGAATGTAAACGATAAATACAAACCTGAGTTATACCAACTATAAGCATCACAGCAATCTGCCACAGCGACCACCTCATGACCCTGGAACAAATTATAATATAATGAAATAACTTTTTAATACTTATCATAAAGGATGGCAATATAATTTAAATTGAACATTTTAAAAACCCCCGGAAAGAACCCTACCGCAGCCAACAAAACAACGTGACCTTGGAACGACTGAAATGATTTTGATAAAACATGGTTTTTTTATAGGATAAGGGTGACAAACGAGCACACAGTCCACCTTATGGTAAGTGGTTGCTATGGCCCATAGACATCTTCATCTATCCTCGATTACGAATCAAAATGCCGATTCGTTGTCACGCGTGAGGACTAAGATGGAATGCCTCGTTTCCAGTAAAAAGGGTCTCCGGTTCTCTACACTCGCCATACGAAACACAGCAGCGTTAAGCTGCTATTTTACGCTGCTATTCTTTGAGAGCGTGGTTCTTCACCGGTCAAGCTGATCCAGCCGTACTACAACTACAGTATATAGCTGCAACATGGCTCTACCGCGTAAAAAAGAAGTCTAAGAAGCACCCCTAGAAAATCTGATTTTATATTTAAAAAAAAACATGCGTGAGTGTCGTGGAACACTCGGTTGGTACGTAAGTTCCTTTCGAAGTATATTATTGATAAACGTATTATATTATTGATTAACAAATATAAATAAATGAATTACTAGTGTCTATTAAAATAAAGCGTCATTTAAAATAAAATAATATTTCTTTCATGGTAAAATAAGAAAAAGTGCGAGGGAGATGGATATTATAATATTATTCCATCTCGCTTCTTTATAACCCCCAAGGCAGTCTACACTACGTCAGAAGTGTTACACATTTTGTCGCCTAGCCCCCGTTCGCAAAATCCGTACCGTCTGATAAAGAACTTCGTTCCAAAAACGCACCCAATACGGTTCACCCGTTTAAGAGCTACGGTGCCACATGCAGACAAACACACATAGTAGTCAAACTTATAACAGCCTATTTTCATATGAAATAGCTTTAACTAAGTGAAGCAGTTTGAACACATTTACGGCTGTATGCGCAAAAACACCTTTGCCTTCGATGCACGTGAGAATATTTAAAAAAAAGTTATACAAACAAAATATTATGATTGCGTTGTTTCACACAATGAGGGCTAATATCAATAATAATCTTCTTCTTAATAATCTTCCTCTCACCAGATGTCGCTAGTTGTGTATATGCAAATAAATAAAAATGAATAATTGAATTTATAAAATTGAATTGTAATGTTTAATGTGTTTGTAACAGCTTTTTACTTAATGCATATTATGAAAGTATATACGGTACTTATAATAAAAACACATTTTTTTATTTTTGTCTGTCTGTCTGTTTGTTCCGCCCATTGAGTTATATGTACTACATACTAGAGAAGCCATTCCAAACAAAAATTGTGTCCTACTCTATGTCTCCGCGCATGCGCGGGAGTAGTAGTCACGCATGCGCGAAGACTTTAATTGAATATAAAATAAGATATTAATATAAAATAAATATAAGAATTTAATATAAAATATCTTAATTTAATCTAAACAAACATATTTCCAAATAAAATGTAATAATAATTATTTTATGGAATTCACAAATCTTCAATTTATTTATAAAATTGAATTGTAATGTTTAATGTGTTTGTAACAGCTTTTTACTTAATGCATATTATGAAAGTATATACGGTACTTATAATAAAAACACATTTTTTTATTTTTGTCTGTCTGTCTGTTTGTTCCGCCCATTGAGTTATATGTACTACATACTAGAGAAGCCATTCCAAACAAAAATTGTGTCCTACTCTATGTCTCCGCGCATGCGCGGGAGTAGTAGTCACGCATGCGCGAAGACTTTAATTGAATATAAAATAAGATATTAATATAAAATAAATATAAGAATTTAATATAAAATATCTTAATTTAATCTAAACAAACATATTTCCAAATAAAATGTAATAATAATTATTTTATGGAATTCACAAATCTTCAATTTACGCAATATTTAGTTTGTATGGATTGCACTACAGTTCAGTTGAACATAGTACGTAGTACATATAATTCAATGGTTCCGGCTAATCTCCGAAATAGCTGGACCGATTTTGACGGGTTTGATCCGAGTAACTGTTTACTTTTATTTCATTAAAAAAAATTAAGGTTTCGCGCAAATAAATTAAAACCCATGAAATCCAATTGTAATAAATTACACGTGGCCGAAGTCGCGGGGAATGTCAACAATAACAGTCTTTATTTTTAGTTTTAGACATGTAGAGCCAATATTTTAAAGTAATATATGATAAGAATATTGTTTTTTGAGTAAAATTCTTTTGCAATAACGCCATCTACTTCATTTCATTGGTAAAGTCATTTTATCGAACAAAAATTGATTCACTCTCGCAGTGGTACGTAAAATAGACGCTAAGTGACCTAAACAAGACTTATTTAATATAATATTCTATTTCACACTCTCGCATAAATGTATTGTGTTTGTCTGTTTTAGTGTCGCTTCTTCGTTTCATCGAATTTCAAATCACAACGATTCTAAAGGAGTTTGAAGCGGCTGTAGCCTAACTGCAGTGGATCGCAAACTCAAAAGGTCTTGGGTTCGAATCCAATGTTCGACTCCAGTCGTGAACCATCCCTAACACCAGCATTTTAAGTTTACCAGAAATGGTTAAAGGGAATATTAGTAAAGTTAAAAGCTAGTATTCTAAAAATCACTTTAAAAAAAAAAACAAAAATAAAATTGATAATAAACCTCTTTGTGTGACGGGTAAAAATGCAATAAACATTTAAGAACATTTTAGTTCCTCACCTGGAGCACATCTCCTCGGCCAGGTTTCTATCCCTGGCCTCATGTGCTGACAGCAACTCTTGCAGTCTTCTAGCTGCTGACACGTGGTCTTTGACTTTGGCCACAGACTCTGATATGTCTTTAACTTTCATCATGTAGGTTTCCGCGGAGTTGCCTGTCAAATCAAACAACTTTTTGATTCCTGAGATTTAGAGTGGTACTGTTGTGACGACGCTGTCGTCGCGCCACAAGCGAAACATATCGAAGCCTAAATCGAGCTATAAAAGTTCCGAAGTGAAGCAGTATATTATATAGAACCCGGGTTAAGCACCTTGCTGATGGGAGATCACACAAACATCTTGCTGATTTTTCTTCAACGGACAAACTGTACTGTACTAAATAACACTCATGGTAACGGGTGATTAATGTGATTGACATCCTGATGTCATAGTTAATCTGAGATTTAGAGAGTTTTACGTGGTAGACCCATGCTGCAGCTATATTATGGTTTTAGCACGAATGAGTCGGCACGACCAGGGTAGGACCACGCTCTCACAAAACACCAGCGTAAAATAGCAACTTTATCTTTATTACAATCTAATACCTTTTTACTGGCAACGCGTATGTACTTTGAGTCATAATCGAGGACAGATGTAGATATCTATAGATCAACATTCACTTACTATCCAGGTGGACTGTGTGCTCATTTGTCACCCTTATTCTATAAATAAAAGAAGATATCTTCAGCTTTTTATTGTTTGACAGAAATTAAATAAATTTTAAAGTTTATTTATTTAACAAGCTAATCAATACAATCAGGCGTTATTTTGCATAAATCCATTGCATTAAAGATGCTAAAAATCAATTAGTTAAGTTCCACGTAGTAAAATAAAATGATATCTTACCTAGTTTGGAGACTACCGTCCGTTCTTACTCAATCACTTACCATCAGTTGGACTGCTGTGTGTTCGTTTCTCATCTTATTCTATATAATTAAAAATTTTGTACAACCGTCTTCAATATAAATTATTAAGAATAACTTAAAACTAATGGTCTGACCTTGATCAAATTCATATGGGACCACATGTGAAGTATCAGCTTTCGAATAAAATAAAGAATCATCGAAATTGGTTCACCCAGTAAAAAGTTATGAGGTAACACACATAAAAAAAACACATAGTTGAATTGAGTACCGGCTCCTTTTTGAAGTCAGTAGAAAAATAAGTAACACTATGATAACATGGATGGACCACTCCTTATTACTGCTGTCTTTAGAGGAACGCGCCTGATGCTTTTTTGTTATTTTTGCATCAGGTGGACAGTTAGTTTGCTTGTCACTTTATTTTGTTTAAATTAACAAGTGATAAAATTAAAAATTTTTGTACAACCGACTTCATCAATGTAGTCGAAGTCAATTAAATGAGCATTATTAAGGATAACTTAAAACTACTGGTCAGATATTGATCAAATTAATATGGGACCACACAGATAGCACCAGCATTCAAATAAAAAACAGAATCATTATAAGATTGGATAATCTAGAAAAAAGTTTTGAGGTATCAAACATAATAAAATACAGTAGAATTGAGAACCTCCTCCTTTTTTTGAATCCGGTTGAAAAAGAACGAACTATCCTTCTGATCCTAAATACGGATAGGAAAACTAACCCATCTCCATTTCTTTGTCGTCGTCGTAGTCTTTGTATGGGGTGTCTTCCGTTTCCACCATCAGGTCGAAGAAAACCTGCAAGATGTCCTATTAATTTAGTAAGACTAAAATATACTGCATAGTGACGATGTAATAATATCCACTACCCCACATCGTCCCCTGGGTGTCGTAAGCGACGATAGCTTAAAATTATAAAGATCTGCGAATGCCACGCCTGCAAAGCGTGGTAACTATGGCAAAATCTCCCCTATGAGGCAATCTATTAAGGAGGCCTGTGTTCAAAACATAAACATACAAAACACCTACATTTATCCTCAATGAAGAATCAAAATAATGTTGTTGAGGACCAAGATGGAATGCCTCGCTTCCAGTTGAAAGGGTCTCTGGTTCTCTACACTCAACATACGAAACACAGCAGCATTAAGCTACTATTTTACGCTGGTATTCTATGGGAGCGTGGTCCTACCCCGGTCGACCCGAGCAATTCGCGCCACAACCATAATATAGCTGCAACATGGCTCTACCACACATAAAATCCTGTAGCAGTCCACAGCTGGACGTGGGCTCGCACTGTAGCGAGGGAGCCATAACGCCTAGCTTGTGAGGATTAACAATCGCAGCACAAGACATCTTGCATCATTATATCATCATATCGTCGGCTCCTGCCGTTGGTTCTGCGCCTGATCTCTCTCCGGTCGTGTCGGATAATCGTCCCATCGAACTATGAGAGTGAGAGAGTACAGTGCATCTGGGTTTGCATATACATTCGTGCACTATAATCCTGTCCTGCACAGATGGCTAGTATCCATTGAGACTGGCCGCCTTGACCGAAATTCGGTCTGGAGGACATTATTTATTTATTTATTAGTTCAATGGTTGTATCTAACGAAACTGTACTCACGGTTTTCTGGCTGAATGTACTGAAACTATTGTCAAAGCAAAATCTGTAGTCGCCATTGAGTACGGCGGTGTGACGGTGAGCGTTCTCCGGCTTCTTATAATCAGCGACAATGACCCTGCCAACTGGGTCAGAGAGTTGGAACGAGATGTCCAACTCCCCGTGTGTGGAGTCTATCACCTGAGGAGGAAATGGTTTGTTAATACATCACCAGAATGTAAATTTTGTAATTGCTGGACCGATTTTGACAGGACTTTCACTGGCAGATAGCTCAGGTTATGAGGAGTAACTTAGACTACTTTTATTTTAATTACACGCGCATTTAAAATTAAAACTCCAAATTGCACGCGGGCGAAGTCGCAGGGAACATCTAGTTCTTAATTAAAATTGATAAGTAATAAACCTTTAGTTATTCAAAACATGTTCTTTAGTTATACTGCACAAAAAAATGTAAAATTAAAGCTAACAAATGCGGTGCAAACTCGTACAGACTAGCCCCCACAAGCAGCAGCTGTTCACAAGTATAACACGTGGCATATAGATCTCTGAGACTAGAACTCAAGATCCAAACTTTGATCTGTCATTACCCAAAAATTTACCAAATGGAGAGTTTAGGGAACCGGAGACCTTTTTCACTGGTAACATGGCTACACATTCAAAGAGGCATTCCATCTTAATCCTCAAGGGGGACAAAGCATCTACATATTGATTCCATATCAAGGAAAGATGTAAGTGTCTATGGACCACAGCATCCACTTACTATTGTGATTGTTTGTCATCTTTATTCTATAAATAAATAAAATAAAGCAATTTAGAACTTGTTTGCCTTACAGGTGTTTATGGTATTGATTTAGATTTTATTTTAAAGAGTGGGGAGATAAACGAGCACTCTGTCCACATGATGGTAAGTGGCCCGTGGCCCGTGGCCCATAGACATCTACATTTATCTTCGATTAAGAATCAAATGCAGATGTGTTGTCACCCGTGAGAACTAGCATGGAATGCCTTGGTTTCAGTAAACAGGGGTCTCTGGTCCTCTACACTCACCATACGAAACACAGATGCATTAAGCTGCTATTTTACGGTGGTAGTCTGTGAGAGCATGATCTTACATCGGTTAACCCAACCCATTCATGCTACAACCATGATATAGCTACAGCCTGGCTCTACCACATTTCAAAAAGATTTCATTTTCATTTCTGGCTCTATCTCTGATAATATCAGAAATATTACATTTTAGGAATTATTTCAAACCCTATATATGATATCCCCACATATAGTGGCTCTAACTTGTGTAAAATCATTATCATCATTGTTACAGCCTATCAATAATACACTGCTGAATATATGCCTTCTCCACAGCTTGCCTCAAAGGGGGACATTTGCCATAGTTGCCACACTTGACAGGGAGGTTGGCAACCAGTTATTTTTCTTAATGTTATTTGAAAGACTGCTGCTGATAGATAGGTTTATTTCTGTAGTCTCTAAGTCACCCATGGGACAATATTTTTTTTTGGTCATCCTTAAAAAAGTTACCTTCACACTAAGATTTTTCCTGTATCATGGCGGCAGTTTGTAAACATAAATTTCACAAGGACAACAATACGGATTATACAGTTTTGTGTAAATTACTCAATGTTATCCCACATTAGGTAATATTTCATATGAGGTCTGATAAAAATGTTCGAGAATGTGTATAATATCGAGCTCATATATGTAACTAGCAACTGCTTTCAGTGTTTAATTACAAAGATAAGAGAGCTGTGAAACAATAAAAATTAATTATTTTTACACGACTAACATTCATAACATTATATTGCAACTCCTTATCAGGAAAATATTACGTAAACCATTATATAGAACACATTTTTGAGACCACGTACAACTTATTTTCACAAATTTGAACAGCTGATAAGTTATGATAACTGTCACCTAGAGCTTATGATAATCTATAGTCCACTTAAAGGGGCCAAAAACTATAATAGTAATAATAAAAGTCTATTTCAAAGAATTAAAAAGAAAAAAAGAATTTAAATGGTGAATATGGTTTTGTGTTATTAAGTTCCTGGGGGAACTGGGGACTAGGCCAGAAAAAGTGTAAGATTTTTCCATCACGACCACCTTTCTATAGTGCGAGGGAGATGGATATTATTCCATCTCTATTTCTAATTCTTTTTCCATTTTGCTTCGGAAGTTGGGGTTCCAATTAGGATGAGGACAATTTGAAGTTTTATTTTGAACTTGGCTTTTAGTTTATATTGGACTTTTATTATTTTATTGGAATTTCTCAACTTTTTGCTTAATAGACGTTTTAATATTTTGACAAAGTTTATAGAAGTCATAATTGTTTTAAATATTATATGGACTTCACAGACCTAGTTGAAGTTGAAAGCAACTAGCTACACTTACTTTTAAACACAAATAAATAAAATACACCTACATTTATAATTTCAGACCAAATTTCCTTTACAGTGGTTTGTCTCAACGGGTATCCATTTGGCTGCTGGTCTTAGCCAGCTGTGCAGGACAGGATTATAGTGCCTGAGCATATATACAAAAACAGGGGAACCCTCGATTCCCACATTCTCATATTCCAATGGGAAGGTAATCTGACACAACCTTAGGGAGATCAGGTGCAGAACAAATGCTTTTGCATACTTTCTGCTGAAACACCGCCTTTTTAACACAATAAGAACTATTTGTCGTAAAAATCAAATAACTAATTTTGCAGTACTAGAGTTGATCAGCAATAGAGTTTACAACCTCTAGGCCAAAGAAGCCTAGTCAAAATTTAATAAAAACCTGAAAGCTGGATACCATACATACTTGCAGCTCGGAAGCAGAATGGCACTGTAGGGTTGTGGTTTCAGATTCCATACAGAATGAGTGTTTGTATGGCCTGCAAATAATTGTACCTGATCTGGACGTTTCTTCCTGTACAACTTAAGTAAGTAAACTACCCTCAAGATACAGGAGAAAATTCCACCATCCATTCCATTCCATTCCAGTGACCACGGAAATTCTTTCTCTTAATACGTATAAGCATTAAGTACGAATTTAATCGTACATTTATATTTATCGTTCCGATATAATAACGCTAAGCGGCAAAATACACTTACATACCTGGTACTCTATGTCGATTATTTCATTTGGTAGCACTTTTTGATAGAAGCACTCCGTATTACCAGCTGGAACGGTGAATGTCATATCCTTTTCATAGGCAAAAACAACACTAAATATCGTCGTGACAAATAAATATCGCATTTTTAAATAAAAACGTCGTTACCGTCGTACAAATTTTAAGTAATGACGCGGGCTCTGTGTTCGATGTTTATATATAGAATCTATATGACGTGCTTGTTTTTATAGAGAGATTTGTGTGTAAAATTATTTATAGACAAATATTTAACAAATCAAATAATAAAGAAAACGATATATCGGCGTCGGCTGTGGTCTATAAATATGATTCTAATTTCCAGTTTATAAAAAGTACTCTGTGATTCTAATATATCTAATGCATAGATAAATATATATGTAGCAAGCTAATCTAATGTCAGAAATCAGCATTCAGCATACTTTGATCAGTGTCTCTGTCAGTGTCACTTTCAGTGTCAAAATTAATTTAATCGGTTTTTTTTTGGAGTTTATGGCCTGGTATCTAGACCTTTAGGCCATAATAAAGTATTAGTGCTGCCAGAACAAAAAAAAAACAAATCAATGCTAACAGCCATACAAAAGGCGCTAGATTCGAATTCGATGACATTAGGCGCTTTTCCAATTATCGCCACGGCACCGGCACAGCGTCACCGCCGGCACCGACCCGGCTGCCGGGGAAGCAAAAGTGTATTAAATGTATGGAATATGCGGGAAGAGTTTCCACTTACCGACCTGCAGAAAGGTTAACTTCGAGTGAATGAGACGAATGCGGATATATCAGGAGTAGGATAATTGTAGGGTATATTTATTATAATATTGTTACACATTTATTGTAATATTGATATAAAAATCCATGCAGATAGAATGATAACCTTGATGGAATTTTAATTAATGGATAGGCTCGATTATACATTAAAGTAAGGATTATAGGGCTGTATCAGCTCTCCTAATCAAAAAAGGAGTCCAGGGTACTTTTTACCCTACTACACTTATTAAAACCTTAAAGCTTGTGATAAAACTTGGAAAACTCTTTAAATTGAAGACTATACGAACAGAATTCTTAACTTAAAAGTCATATACTCTTGCGACGCTGAGAAGGCTTATACCGCGGTAATTTATGCAGCCTTCTCAGCGTCGTCGGTAAATTGTATGCGAAAGTGTTGATTGAAAGGGTTGTGAATGAAACAGACGAAAAAGAATGGGATGCACAAGCAGGATTTAGAAAGGGAATGGGATGTACGGATCAGGTTTTTTCCTTGCGGTACATAGCCGAAAAATGTTTGGCTAAAAACAAGAAGGTCTATTACGCGTTCGTGGATCTAGAAAAGGCCTATGATATAGTGGTGAGGAATGAATTGTGGTCAGCACTGTCCGTGAACGGTGTGAGCAGTATCCTCATACGAGCATTGCAATCTCTTTATAGGGATTCTAGTGCTTGTGTAAGGATAAACGGGGCATACACTGAATGGTATAATATCGAAAAAGGTGTTAGACAGGGATGTGTAGCGTCACCGTGGCTGTTTAATCTGTTCATGGACAATTGTTTGACAGATTTAAAAGAGAATGAAAGTGGATTGAGAATGAATGATTTACTCGTCAAATGTTTTCTCTATGCTGATGACCAAGTATTACTTGCGTCTTCGGCCGAGGAGTTGCAGGAGATGGTAACTGCTATGAGTGGAGCTTTTGTTAGAAAGGGAATGAAGTTGAATGTAAGCAAGACGAAAGTGATAGTGTTTGAAAAGGATGAGGCAGTGACAAACTGCAATATTGTGATTGAAGATGAACAAATTGAACAGTCGAAAGAGTTTGTGTATCTGGGTTCAAAGTTTACAAGAGATGGAAAGTGTGAGAGTGATATCGAAAGAAGAGTGAATGCAGGAAAAATGGTGACTGGAGCTTTACACTCCTTTATGAGCAGTCGGAAGGTGTCTAACAAGGCTCGTTTGGCTGTGCACGAGGGTGTGTTGGTTCCGACACTCATGCACGGAAGTGAAAGTTGGGTATGGCAGAAGAAACATAAAAGCAGAATAAATGCAGTTGAGATGAGAGCGTTAAGAAGTATGATAGGAGTTAAGCTGAGTGACAGAATAAGAAATAGTGAGATAAGGAAACGTTGTGGTCTGAAAGAAGATGTAGTGACAAAAATTGAGAAAGCTATCCTGAGATGGTTTGGCCATGTCGACGAAAAAAGTGTATAAGGTGAGTGTGAATGAAAGTGTTGGAAGGGATAGACCTAGGCGGACATTTCTAGACCAAATCAGGGACATCTTGAAAAAAGGCCAGCTCAAAAGTACCCTAAACCGTAGAGCATGTATGAAGAGAATAATGAAAGTGGACGAAGCGAAACAAGTATGTAAGGATCGTAGCAAGTGGAAAGAAGTGGTCTCTGCCTACCCCTACGGGAAAGAGACGTGATTATATGTATGTATGTATGTATACTCTCGCGTTCATTTCATGACACCATATGCTTAGAAATATTTTAATAAACTTTGTAACCACAAACTAATATGAAGCTTACGCATATTGTAACAATATTATAACAAATATTCCCTACAATTATCCTACTCCTGATATATCCGCATTCGTCTCATTCACCAGAAGCTTACCTTTCTGCAGGTTTCACTTGTGTGACCTGTGAACTGCACACATGCCTTTTAATTTACTTGTTTTTGTAGTCTGTATTCGTTGGGAACAGAGTTTTAGCGGAAACTTGACCTACGACTTATTGTTGCTCCTGTTTTATTGTTTAAATTATGGTTTGAAGTGAATTTTTATACGTTAAAGTGATGCTATTTTGTGTATTGTCTGCTCATTTGTACTATTAGAGAAAACGATGAAACAAGTGATTAGATATTGATATAAACTTCAAGATATTTTGTCCGCTGGCTTGAACTGTCGTCAGGATCTCCCAAAAACTTCGTAATGTGATGAATCACCATTTTGCATTTTTGTGAAGAAAACCTTTATAAAAACGATGATCCCGAATGAAATGATAAATGGCTTAAAAGACAAGCATCCAAGCCAAAAGTTTTAATTAAAAAAAAATAGTTGGTAATCAAAGAAATAAAACACGGTTTATTTATCATAGCGTTATCATAGCATAGCACAAGTAATAAGTATGATTTTTATTGCTATATTTAGCAAAAGATATTAAAATTAAAATGTCGGGAACTAACAGCTTAACACCTCCATCGGGAGTTGTACGGAATAGCGCCCTATCTTTTGTTGCGCCGGCGCAGCCTCCGATGAATTTACCTGTTCAGTCAGGAATCGTACCAGATTCGGAATCAAGAGGTAAATTTTTTAAACAAGATTTTATGATTTAAACAGCAAAAGTTTATGTCGAATATCCCAAAGTTTTTTTTTTTGATATAATCAACTGCCTTACAGTCCGACTGAGTACAATTACACAGCTCTGGGTCACTTTAACCAACCAAGTAAAGAAAGCACCGTTTGCATTGACTTAGATCTCTCACAGCTCGTATTAATTGTTCCTTTCTTACCTTTCAAAATTGCCATCGATGATGGACCAAATCATTACATTCGTGGGATGGTCTTTACGACACAGGATGAAATTTTTCTACTCGGCGATGACAGACAAACAGAAGAAAATTTCAAAAGTGCTTTCATCGTGGAAGTAGACCTGTGAAAAATATAAATTCTAAGAATCAATAGTACATCATAATAAGAGAGTAAATAATAAAATTAATAGATAATTATAAATTCTCAGAAGTACAAATTTTTATCACACATCTGTTTGGCCCACTTTAGAAGATTTGCTTTCATTACAGCTGACAACTTGGGCTTTTTGGCAAGTTGCATATTAAACCTATTATTATAAAAATCTATACTGCATCTAATAATTTGGCCAGGCACTACATTATAACTTTAATATAAATTATATTGAAATTATAATGTATAATTATAAAGTTAATTAAATTATCAAGTATAATTTAAATTTGCCAAATATCAATTTGCCACATGTAGACTGTGTCTATTAATCAAAACAATGTCAATAGCAAAAGTTTTTATGAAGTGTAATTGTAAAAAATAACAATATTGTCTAGATTTAGGCATAAACTATAATGTTAAATGTAAATTAATTTTTATTAAGCACATATTATTGTATGTAGGAGGAATGGGTCAGTTTGTCCGAGGCAGGACCACACTTTTAGATTATTCCAGTATAATATAGCAGTTTAATGCTGCTGAGTTTCATATAGTGGGTGTAAACAACTATAGACTGTTTATACTGGAAACAAGGTATTTCCATCTTAGTCCTCACAGTCCACAGTCTGCCACATCTGCATATTGATTCTTAAATTTTATCTGTATTTAATGACTCTGTAGAACAGTAGCTAAGCTAGTATATGTGATTTCTAAATGGACCATTGTTAAGCTACAGCTTATTGCACTGCTGGACACAGGCCTCCTTTCATTTCTGCGAGGGTTTTTAGGGCAAAGAAGCGTCTGCCGCGCAGCCCCAATGCATGTTGTTGAACTTCACATGTCTTCAAAATATATTTTTTTCTTATTTCTCAAACATGCAGGTTCCCTCACGATGTTTTCCTTCACTGCCGAACATGTGGTAAATCAACACTTAAAATTGCAATTAACAATTTCATTAGTGCCAGCGGGGATAGAACCTGGGTTGCTTGCATTCTGTGAAATTTACAGAGAAAGCTAACCATCTGAGCTACCATAGCTCGATGGATCTAATGGACCGATGGCATAAAAATAATTGTTTTAGGTCTGATATAATAGAATTATTTATGTCTTTTATATTACTAACTAAACAGACAACAAACTCACAGGCCACCGGATACTACTGCAGTCTATGAATGTCAGTAACCAACTTCAAACAAAGAAGACTACAGAAGTATTGTCATCTCTGTAGACTAAGATGGAATACCTCACAGCTTATAATTATACTGGCTCTCCCTCCACATCAGAACACAGGCATATCTCTAAAGATAAAAGCCCCCAAAAAAAGTAGAAAAAAAAATTGTTTGGGTAACTTTCATTCAAGTCATCCCTTGCTATAACTCTGCTCCTTAATTCTCGTAGCAAGTAATTTTTTTTTATAAAAAGTTACCTCTACACTACAATTTTCTCCTGTATCGTGGAGGCAGTTTACATACATAAATTTCACAAGGACAAACATCCAAACCCAGAACAATTATTTGTAGACCATACAAATACTTACTCCGTGCGGGGTTTGAACTCGAGGCTCGCAGCGCCACAATTCATTGCTAGCCACTGCACCACGGAGCTGTTAAAAAACTATGTCATGTAAATTATGATTGATTTATTTCTTACAGAGAGATTGGTGCCAGCGGGGCTGAAGGCTTTGTGCGATGCATATTCACGATTATACCCTGACCAGCCTAACCCATTACAAGTTACCACTAGACTTAAGTATTGGTAAGTTTTTACTGATCTGCACAGAGTAAATAGTAGGTTGTATCTGTTGGTGATAAGAGAGCTGGTTCTTTTCTCGCTCAAAGTTTAAGTATAGCCATTCAGTGAGGAAACACAGCCAGCGTTCTTGGCATGATACCTGAACGCTACGTTAATTTAAGTTTTAAGTTTTCCTTATTAGAGTTTTTTAAATAATTTATATTGCCCACCGCACAACAATCGTGTGGGAGTTCTCTACTGAAATTGTTAGTACGTCTCAATTTAGACACAAAATCAATAAAAAAGGGATGTTTTGAAAACTAGATATATTAAATTATAATGTTAGCATATTGTTTTTATTAATTTGTTTAGTTATATTTACAAAAAATGTAGTTATAATAATATTAGTACGGCTGTCAGTCAGTCTTTGCACATGTTTGTCTTGTCGATAAATACTCATATATGCAATGAAATGAAATAAATCTTTCTGAATGAACCAACAACAGGAATTATTGGGTACCAAGAAATGGGTTTCCATTTATCCTCAGGATAATCCCTGTTGCTGGTTCTCAAAATTAAATGAAATTTTGATGAAACAAAATAAAAACACTCATGAGGCGTGCACTTTTCGATCGTTTTTGGTCAACAGCAAAGTTACAGACTAGTTAGTGTTAAAAACAAACCAGGACATGGCATTTTTAGTCCTCACAATGACTAAAAATAAAAAAATCTGAAAATCATCAAAGCCTGCCAAGTGTGGCAGCTATGGCAAATATGGGGATATTTAGTAGTTATAAGGCAATTGATGGGGAATGCCTATGTTCATCAACGCACTTTTGATAGACTGTAATGGTGTCATATATTTCTCATAGTTGTCACGGTTGACGGGCGGCTCTGCAATCACAACTTTTTATTATTTTGGATTGTTATCAGTATGACAAAAGAGAATTAAAATCTATAGGTGACGGATTATAAGGAGGAAGGCCTTACCTTGACCTATAGGGGGCGGAGGATAGTTTGGGACAGTTCAAAAAAATATGGTTTGTGGAACTTTCATCTAAGCCTCATTCACACAATGAGCTAGATGTTGGTAGAGCAATGCTGCAGCTATATTAGTAGTATAGTTGTAGTACGAATCGGTCGGCTCGACCGGGGAAGGACCACGCTCTCACAGAATACCAGCGCAAAATGGCAGCTTGACACTGCTGTGTTTTGTATGGTGAGTGTAGAGAACCGGAGACCCATTGTACTGGAAAAGAGGCATTCCATCTTAGTCCTTACGGGTGACGACGTATCTGCATTTTGATTCTTTATTGAGGAAAAATGTAGATGTCTATAGGTTACAGCAACCACTTACCATCAGGTGGACTGTGCGCTCGTTTGTCACCCTATCCTATTAAAAAAAACTTGTAGTTTTGGCCAGATGTACATGTGTGTGTACAAGCATGTCCAATTCTCAATATACAGATAGTTGAAGTTGCATGTTTATTTGCTTTTTTAAATTTAAAAAAGCAAGGCGTGGGAGGAATAATCTCTTAAATGGCAGCATAGTGCTTACCCGTAACAATTTCGGATACTTCCCGCAATTACTAATTCCAAGCGAATGCATTATTCGATAATTCCTTATTTTTATATAAACAAAATTTTATTTCCTAAGGAGTCCAATCTAGCGAACAGGGTTCACAATACTTTTAAGTGTTCCGCAAAATACAAGCATATAAGTCTTACGAGTTCTGTTGAGACAAATGATAAGAGTGAATTTTTTACGATGCGCTTGCGCACCGACATCTAAAAACGACACCATGAAGTTGTAACGATGCGCGCGCACACCGAAACCTAAAAGCGACAACTTCAGTTGGTAATTGTCTGTCAACTGTCAAGTTTTCGTGAGAACTAATAACTCTATACAAGGTAGTTATTCAAATATATATGAATCTATAAAACATGTTTTATTTTAGTTATTTTTGTTTTGTTACGCTTAAGAATATATATTACTTCTTACGCGCGTACACAAGTACACACACACGTTTTTTTTTATGGGATAAGTGTGACACACAAACATATAGTCCACCTCATAGTAAGTGGATTGTGTGGCCAATAGACATCTACATTTATGCTCAATTAAGAATCACAATGCAGATACGTTGTCACCCCTGAGGACAGAGATGGGATGCCTTTTTTCCAGTAAGAAAACCCCTCCGGTTCTTTACACTCATCATACGAAACACAGCAGCATTTATCTGCCGACTTCAAAAAGGAGACGATACTCAATTCAACTCTATGGTTTTTTTGTGTTACCTCATAACTTTTTACTGGGTGAACCAATTGCGATGATTCTTTTTTTATTTGAAAGCTGTTAATTCACATGTGGTCCCATATAAATTTGATCAAGGTCAATACAATATTTTTAATTTTTATTATATGCTGGTATTCTGTAAAAGCGTGGTCCTTCCCTGCTTGACCCGAGCCATTTGTGCTACAACCATAATATACATAGGTGCAGCATGGCTCTACCATATACTAGCAAGCAAATATATGTGTAAATATAAAGCTGGAGCAAGCTGATAAAGGCTGGTATTCCCTTTCTGAAACTAGTTACTGTATGCTATGAAAAATGTATTCACTTTCACAGGTTAGGGGGTCAAGACCCTCTTGACTACATCAGCATGTATTGGAACCCTGGAAAGCCTGAGGAGCACATACCGCCACATTGGCACTACGTAAGGTAAAACTGATTCTACCCACATGTGGGAACCTTATCCACAGGATGTCAGCTGCGTATTTCAGATTTGTTTTACTAATTTATTGATTTTTTCGAAACCCTAATTCTGTTTCTAAAATAAAAGTAGCCTACGTTACTCCTTATAACATCATCTGGCAGATGCCAGTGAAAGTCCCGTTAAAATTAGCCCAGCCATTTCGGAGATTAGCCGGCACAAACAAACAGACAGACAGACTAAAATTAAAAAAATATATATATTGGTAAGTCCAATTGGGCATGCCCTAAGCGCATTAAAAAAATTACGTATAACATGATTATACGGAATTTTTAAAAGTAGTTTAAATACATTTCGACAGCACTATCGGCTCCAACGCCCTCGAAACCCAGGAAAATGACACCCATGATGAAAAAATTGATACCTATTGCAGCCGTCGTCTTGGATTTACATTTCGACAGCATTATCTGCTTCAACACCCTCGAAAACCATGAAAATGACACCCAAGATGAAAAAAATGATATCTATTGCAGCCTCCATCTTAGATTTACATTTCGACAACCCTATCGGCTTCAACTCTCTCGAAAAACATGAAAATGACACCCATGACGAATAAAATTGATACCTATTGCAGCCGCCATCTTGGATTTATATATCAACAGCACTATCGGCTTCAACACCCTCGAAAAAAAATCTCTCATTATTATTATAATCAAGTATTTAAGAAATTTGGTTATTCGAATATTGTGTATTTGTACAGCGATCTTTTTGAGCCGCTACAAACAACCGAAACAATGTCCACTCACAACGATATTTAGTAATAATTTTTCATACAAGGCTGCTGAATACATCGAAAATTTCGCCATTTCGCAGCCGAAAAATAATTATTATAACTAAACTAAACACAATTAAACTGCCATTTACCTTCAATGGCTTCCCACATGATAGATGAAGAGTTTTAAAAATATTGTTACGAGCTTGAGGTTCGAGACAATTAAAAACTGCCGATTGAATTACCAAAATTGACACTTTAATTACACAACACTAATTACAATCTAAAATCACACTAATAATAATACACAGTTCGCCGTTATTTCGCTTCGAAGTATTCTCTTGTATCGCCAATTCAATACTGCCTCGGTCTAGGTCTATACCGGCCTTATATAGGGCCTCAGATAGTTTCCAGAATCTTCTACTGTAGCGACATCTAGAATGTTCGAGTACATATCGGTCCCGAAATTTCTGGAAGGATCTTGACTCTCCTAGTTCTGCTACTCGACACTAGAGGGCGCTAGTGTACCTAGTGTTGCCATGTACAAGACATTAATAGTGGCACGCAATACTTTCATTTACTCCACACTAGGGGGCGCTAGTGTAACTAGTGTTGCCATGTACAAGACATTAATAGTGGCGCGCAACACTGCCCCCTCCTAAGACATGCTCGTCCCGAGCATTATTGGCCCCATAATAACGCGCCAGTCGATCTACATGGACAATCTTAGGAGTACCTCTGGCACCTTTCTGTATCCGGTAAACAGAAACAGAAACAGAAACAGAAACTTTTTTATTCAATATAGATTATAAATAATACTTATTGAAAGTCACTCTTTTGTTTGATTACCACTGGTTCGGAAAAAAACCTCCGTCCCGGGAAGAACCAGCAAGAAACCCAGCGGGACTTTTTTTTTTAAATAACAGCTTACAATCATGATGTTACACAAATTAACAACACAACAAATTAGAAATAGCTTGGTAGCGATCACCTCATTTCCAGGGGTTATTATCATCCATAAATTCCTTAATATTATAATAACCCTTTTTATACAAACTTAGTTTAATAAAGTTTTTGAACTTTGAACAGGTCAAACTTTGTATATTTTCTGGAATTTTGTTGTAAAGGTAGGTTACGTCATTGATCCTTGTCACAATCCGGTACGGTCCGTCCCATTTAGCTTGAAGCTTAGGAGATTTCCCTTTGCTGCGAACTGGGTTGTGTAACCACACTAGAGAACCTTCATCAAACCCCTTGTTGTTTATTTTGCGGTCATACCGTGTTTTCATCTTCTCAGACGTTTGCTGGCCCGTCTGTCTGACGTGCTCATAAATGTCATTCATTTTGTTCCGCAAGTCATTTGCATAATCGGTTATGCTGCGTGGGGCATCTGGTGGTATTCCGGTGATCAGGTCTGCAGGTAGCCGTAATTCTCTCCCAAAGTTTGCGAAAGCTGGCGTCAATGATGTACTTTCGTGAACAGCGCTTCGATATGACAACAAAAACGGTTGTATGTGCCTGTCCCAGTCTCGTTGCCGTTTTTCCACAACTTTTGCCAGGTACCTTTCCAATGTCTGATTAAATCGTTCTACCATTCCATCAGATTGTGGGTGGTAAGAAGTTATTCGTGTTTTATGAGTACCCATAACTCTGCAAGTTTCCTGGAATATTTGAGACTCGAAATTCCTTCCTTGATCGCTGTGAATCTCTAAGGGTACTCCAAAACGACAGAAGACTTCATGAACTAGTTTATCTGCAACTGTTGAAGCTTCTTGATTTGGAATGGCGAAGACTTCTGGCCACTTAGTGAAGTAATCCATCACAACCATGAAATACTTGTTACCACTTTCACTTTCCGGAAACGGCCCCGCAACGTCAATGGCTATCCTCTCCCATGGTGCACCAACATTGTACAATTTCAATGCGCCTCTACTACGAATTTGAGGTCCCTTTACAGCCGCACAACTTGTACATTTGCGGCACCAGTCCTCGACATCGTCACGACAGTGGACCCAGTAAAACCGTTCTCGGATCTTCAGGAGAGTTCGTTTAACTCCCAGGTGGCCTCCTGAAGAACTACTATGGTACAGTTGTAGAACATCCGGTACTTTAGCCTTAGGGACAACCATTTGCAAATGACATCTGTCTCCCCGACCATTTTCCCATTTACGGCACAGGACTCCATCCTGAATCAGCAAGCTGTCCCATTGGGCCCAATAGCTTTTCGTGGTCGAACTCATTGCTGAGACGTCGCTCCACTTGGGCTTAGGAGCACTGGCCTTCATCCATTCCAGAATCGGCTTAATGTCCGAATCTCCCTGCTGTGCATGTTGTAGGCTGTCCTTCCACTCATTGCTGAGCTGGTCTGTCCTGAGCATTCTCACAGATACCACTTCCTTACCCTCTTGCCTAGTACAATGCTTGCAATCTTCAGGGCAAGGTCTTCTTGACAATGCATCTGCATTGCCATGAGATTTCCCGCTGCGATGTTCGATCACAAAGTCGTATTCCTGCAGTAGTTCAATCCATCTCGCAACTTGTCCTTCCGGATTTTTGAACTGCAATAGCCATTTGAGTGCAGCATGGTCAGTTCGTAAGTGGAATTTCCGCCCTAGAAGATATTTGCTAAAATGCTGCAAGGACTTTACCACAGCAAGCAATTCCCGTCTTGTGACACAATAGTTCCTTTCCGGCTTTGACAACGACTTGCTGAAGTACGCTATCACAATCTCTTGATCACCATTCCGTTGAGACAACACACCGCCAAGTCCTATATCACTTGCGTCTGTGTCAACTATGAATTCCTTGCCCGCATCAGGGTACCCCAAAATAGGTGTTTTGCATAGACGGTTCTTGAGCTCCTGGAATGCAATATCGCAACTTTCATCCCAGCAGAATTGTCGCTTCTCCTCGGTTAGCTTGTGCAGAGGTTTGGCTATATCTGCAAAGTTCTTCACAAATCGCCGATAATAAGAGCACAAACCCAAAAATGCTCTAACCTGTGTCTTGTCTTTTGGAACTGGCCACTCCTTGACAGCGGCAATTTTTTCTGGATCCGTGCGGATACCTTCTTCCGACACTACATACCCCAAAAAACTAACTTGCTGTTTGAATAGTGAGCACTTCTTTGGACTCAACTTGAGGTTGGCACTCTGGATCTTCATGAGCACGCGTTCCAGGTTTTGAAGGTGTTCCTCAAACGTACGGCCTACGATGATGATGTCATCCAAATAGACCAGACAGGCATCTCCAATTAGCCCGGTAAGTACAAGCTCCATCAATCTTTCAAACGTTGCTGGAGCATTGCACAATCCAAACGGCATGACTTTAAATTGCCACAGACCCTTTCCTGTGGAGAATGCAGTTTTCTCCTTGTCCTTAGGGTCAATTTCAACCTGCCAGTAGCCACTTTTCAGGTCCAGCGTACTAAACCACTTTACGCCTGTGAGCATGTCCAGCGTGTCATCAATTCTAGGCAAGGGATAGCTGTCCTTCTTCGTAACGTCGTTCAGGCGGCGGTAGTCAACACAAAACCGCATGCTGCCGTCCTTCTTCTTTACCAGCACCACAGGTGAACACCATGGACTAGATGAAGGTTCAATAACACCATCCTTCACCATTCCCTCAATCATGGTTTCCACTTCCTTTTCACGTGCTACAGGCAATCTTCTTGGCCGCTGACGAATAGGCAATTCTTGTCCTGTGTTTATTTTGTGTTGAACTAAGCCAGTCTTTCCTATGTCAGCTTCGTTTGACGAAAAAACATTGGCGTACTTGAGTAACAACTTCTTCGCCTTGACCATTTCATTCGGGGAAAGAACGCTGCGACAGTCTTCTAAAAGTGTGGTCACTCTCGTTTGTCCATCCTTGCTGGGGGTCCCGGTTGATAGATATTCGCACCGACGCAACCAATCCACTTCCTCACTAGTACCAACCAATGTGCCTTTTTCTATAATCTGTTCCTGATCACAAAGGTTCAACACACGTACTCCTGAGATGTCGGCGGTTCTGACCAAGGTTCGAGCCACTTTCCATGGAAGGTCATTGTCTACCCTTTCCACGAGTACACAACGAAGAGTTTGCCCAGGATTCCGTGGAAGTCTAACCGGCACAATCGTTTCCGATCTCGGCGGAAGAACAATCTTCTTAAGGCTGTACACATTCCCTGGACACGCCCCTTCCACGAAAAGTTCCTCTTGTCCACATTTCAAAACACCTTGCTTAACGTCGATCTCACAACAATTCTTCCTCATAAAGTCTAGGCCCAGGATGCAGTCGTCCATTATATCAGCCACGATGACATTATGCAGGTAGATCATGTTGCCTAGCTTCAACTCCATCTCCTTCTCTCCTCGGACGGGTATGCGCTGACCGGTGGCTGTCACCAAATTAATGCGTTCGCGGTTGTATGCGGAGTCCCCAAGAAACTGATTTATAAGTTGGGAACTGACAACCGTGCGAGAGGCTCCAGTGTCTATGGTTAGTTTACACGGCTTTCCGTTGACCTCGCCCTTGATGATCAGGCTGTTTCCATCTCGGGTTTGTGAGATCGAAATCCTTGGGGCTCTTTTCACATCAGCCAGCACCCGCCAGTTTCCCTGCTGCTGCTGGGCGGTGCTGTCAGCCACACTACCCTCTCGATATCGATCACCTTCCCTTTCTACAGTTCGTTTAGGGCAGCTGGATCGAAGATGGCCCCTTTCTCCACAGCCGTAGCACCTAGGGCTGTAGCTTTTATTGCGGTCCTGAACTGTAGCTGCTGCAACCTCCCTGACGCGGTGGGAACGATGATCCTGCCGCACGGCTTCCACCTCCAGTGCATGGGTCAAGGCGTCCTTAAGCGTCTCGTGGTGCCCGAGCCTCACAGCAGCTCTGACTTCAAGGTCGCGGATGCCGTCGATGAATGTCTGAACCAGGTTCCCTACAATAAGCGCAGGTACAGACTGGTACGCTTTTCGAACCAGCTTCTCCACCTCAAGGGCCCACTGCTGCAGGTTTTCGTTACTGCGTTGCACGCGATCTTTGAGTTGCGCACGAAATACGTGTTCCAGGTGAGCGTCGCCATATCTCGCCTCCAATGCCTCAAGGAGCTGCTCGTAAGTCACTTCCTTACCGAGAGCTTCCAGAACAGTTAATGCCTGGTCGCGCAGGCCTAGGGTGAGAGCAGTCATGGCCTGACTTTTATTCCAGCCGTTCGCTTTCATGACAGCCTCGAACTGGATTTTATAGGCCGACCAGGAAGAAGTCCCGTCGAACGGTGGCACTTTGAATCCACGTAGCGAAGGTGTTGTAGCTACCATGGGAGCTGTAACTCCATCCCCAATTTTGAGGTCGTTCAGCATTTTCTTCACGTCAGCCATCACATTGTCAACCCGATTGTACACTTGGTCGATTCGGGTTTCAGCTTCCGACAGGCGGTTGTCATAAGCACGAATGGGTCGGCTCGACCGGGGAAGGACCACGCTCTCACAGAATACCAGCGTAAATTAGAAGCTTAATACTGCTGTGTTTCGTATTGTGAATGTAGAGAACCGGAGACCCATTTTACTGGAAAAGAGGCATCTTAGTCCTCACGGCTGCCAACGCATCCGCATTTTAATTCGCAAACGAATTTAGATGTAGATGTGTATGGGCCACAGCAACCACTTACCATCAGGTGGACTGTGTGCTCATTTGTCATCTTTATTCGATAAAAAAAATACTTCTATTTTATTTATTTGAAGTGACAAGCGAACTTACAGTCTACCTGAAGGTAAGTGGCTACTGCAGTCCCTGGACTACACAACTTCAAGCACAAAATCACAGAAGGCTATATGCCTTGTCACCTCCGTGGTCTAAGATGGAATGGCTCGCAGCGTGTAATCAAACTGGCTCGCTATACACTTCAGACCGGAACACAACAGCGCATGCACTGCTGCTTGGTGACAAAAATAGGTAAGAGGGTAGTAACTACCCAGAAAGACTTGTAGACAAAGAACAGCGCTCCTTCATACCACATGGCACCATTAAAAATTGTTAATCCACTGCACGTCAGCTCCATATTTCAGATTTGGTTTACTTATTTATTGATTTTTTCGAAACCCTAATTCTGTTTCTAAAATAAAAGTAACCTATGTTACTCTTATAACATCAGCTTATCTGCCAGTGAAAATCCCGTCAAAATCGGTCCAGCCGTTTCGGAGATTAGCCAGAACAAACAGACATGCAGACAAAAATTTTAAAAATTATTTTTTGTTATAAGTACCGTATATACTTTCATATGCATTTAGTAAAAAGCTGTTATTTTGACATTACAAACAGACACTTCAATTTTATTTATTTGTATAGATTCACTGAAGCCTACCAAAAATCCAATAATGGATATATGCCTCCACCATAGATTGGCCTACTGTCCATTTCCTGTTTCAGTTTCCTTCTGTCATCTTTTACGAAGAAAGCTTAGTATCAATCATCTCATTTCGTCCTGTGGGTGCCGTTGGAGATGACCATGGAAAATGCAAGAAATATCTGGCTTGACCATTTTAGCTTACCTGATATAACCATCTCAAATATGCTAGATCCAAGCCAGTATCGGCAGGGACAAAGGTGCTCACGTTTGGTACTGCGATCTGCAGTCTGCCTTCCAAACGTGGTGATTGAAACAAATTCTGTATAACACAACACAACTATACTAAATTACAATAGTTATTATTAACAAAAATCAAAAGTAAAGTTATCTCTATATAGAAAAAAACCATGCGTGAGTGTCGTGAAACACTTGATTGGAACGTAGTTCGTTTCGTCTATTAAAATGAAGAGTCATTTGAAATAAAATAATATAAGAAAAAGTGCGAGGGAGATAGATTTTATTCCATCTCACTTCCTTGTAGCCACCAAGGCCCTCTACACTACGTCAGAAGGGGTCGTGACGGAAAAATCTTACACTTTTTCTCGCCTAGCTGCCATCTGCCAAATCCGTACCGTCCGATAAAGAACTTCGTTCCAAAATCAATTGCTGTCCGTTAGTATAGTTCTCTCGCAAATACACGAAATTCGCTCGGCCGATTTTTCTGAATTCTTTGTGTGTGTTTGAATGGGTCCCTGGATGATTTTAAAAGTTAGTTAGAGCTGGTAGGCTGCACTGTTGTCGGGACGGATCGCTAGTTAATAACATATTTTAATCAGTGCTAGTGTTTCTTAGTATTGGAACGAAGTTCTTTATCGCACGGTACGAATTTGACGGAAAAAGTGTTAAGATTTTTCCGTCACGATCCCCTTTTATATAGTGCGAGCGAGCTGGAATAATATACATCTCCCTCGCCCTTTGTTTTTCTTGCCATTGAAAGAAATATTATTTTACATGACGCTTCATTTTAATAGACGCTAGTAATTTATTTATTTGTTAATCAAGAATATAATACGAAATGAACTTAGCTCGAAACGGACTGTACTATGACAGTTACGCATGTTTTTTTATTATAGAAGATTTTCTTCTGCAAGTTCCCAGACGTCATTATATCGATTGACTTTTATACAGGTATTCATTTTTTAAATTTATAGTGAGGAATGCACATAGAACACTACCGTCTTCTATGAAGGTCTGCCTTCAACTGCTCACTGTAAACTTGACTTTCTAATTTATTGCGACCTGATTGATTGAGTGGAAAGTTCAAACTCTCACAGAATATCAGCGAGAAATAGCAGTTTTTAATGCTGCCGCGTTTTGTATGGTGATTGTAAGAGTAAGACCCTTTTTATTGGAAATGGAGCATTCTATCTTAGTCCTCAGGGGTGGCAATACATCATTCTGCGTTTTGTTTCTTAATTGTAAATAGGTGTTTAATGTCTATGGACGGCAGCAACCATTTGCCCAGGTAATTAAACTAATTTTACGGATTTTGTCGCGATTAATATTAACTTCTTAATTCCCATAAATCTTTAGAGACATTCATTTACTCCCCTCTCAGTTTCGGTCTATCAGACCTGCACGGGGACGGACGAGTGCACGCGGTGGGCGCGAACGAGTCTGGCCTCGGGCTGGAGCTGTCGCTGCGACTAGCAGCCGATGTGCCTGGGCCATCTGGTACTTCCGGTGCATCCGGATCACCCGGTGCAGGGGATCCGGGGCCTTCGATCGCAGCGCCGCCACTGTGGCCCGCTGCCTTGCTGCAGGCTCTCGCGCGGTACCTCCTCCTCACTGGTCACTCATTGTTCCTTGTTTTTTTTTATTTATTTATTGTGTAATTGGCTATGGGGCATTCGGTCAATAAGAAAAAAAATGCGTATTGATTAACAGATACAAGCAAATGAATTACTAGCGTCTATTAAAATTAAGCATCATAATATTTCTTTCATGGCAATATAAAAAAGCGAGGGAGATGAATATTATTTCATTTCGCTCGCACGTAGAAAGCGGGTCGTGATAGAAAAATCTTACACTTTTTTCGATTATCTAAATATATAGTTAGATACATACCGTGCGATAAGGAATTTCGTTCCAATATGTTAATACATTTGTTTAAAATATGTTGATGTGTCGTTCATACAGATTGCTTAAGACAATGCTTTGTGGCATAATTTGGGGGAGGTATATGTTCTACCGTAGACTTGTCTATGTGAGGGGCTGTAAAAAAAAGTTACCAAAGCTCTGTGGATAGTGTATTGAAATTATGGGCGATAAAAGGGAAATAAATAATTATAGTGTCTTGAGATTTATACTTCAGTTTATAGTTCAGACCAGAAATATTTTGACCTTATTATATAACTTAATTTTAAATGACTGGCATGTAAATAATGAATTTATTAATAAGTTGCAAGTTCAAATTTAGCGTGCAAGTAAACACATTTGTACGTGGTAGAGCCATGCTGCAGCTATATTACGGCTGTAGCACGAATGGGTCAACTCGACCAGGGTATGACCACGCTCTCACAGAATACTAGCGTGAAATAATGTTTTGTATGGTGACTGTAGAGAACCGGAGACCCTTCTTACCGGGAGCGAGGCATTCCATCTTAGTTCTCGGGGGCATGCATGCATGCATGCATTTAGATTCTTGATTGATGATTAATGTAAATGTATATGGGCCATAGCATCCATTTACACCGACTGTGTTTTTGTTTGTCACTCGCATTCCATAAAAAAAAATCAGATTTAATAAAATTATTTCATGCAGGCAACAAGTTCTGTGCGGGCGACCATATCTCGTGGCACGCGCCGTTGGATGGTGATAGTGGGTCTCGGGTGCGTCATCTGCTGGTGGTAGATGACCCGCAGCTGCCCACCATACACACTCCCCATGGCACCGTCAACTTTGTGCAGGTACCATAACCTATTCATTTATACTATTCTTGTATAATAACATGAGACTAGAGTCCGATCACGTCACAGAGTCGTGCTTGTACAGTGTGCGAAAAAAGCTTACAATGTATATGTTACAGCCAAAACACATAACCTGTCAAAACCACTTGACTGCGAAAATCAGGCAAAAATGGTTTTGACCGATGCCCTTAGTCAAAAGCAGTTGGAAGGGCCACCCTAGCCGGCGTACATTATAATGATATAAAATATGATATATTATTTAAAGAATTAAACTCTTTAATTTGGTGCTGCAAACTGCGACCTAGCTACTTTGGACTCAAGAAAAAGGCGTGCTAAAAGGCTTATTGGTGACCCGAGTTTGGTTAAAACCAATCTTACCAGTCTCGAACACAGGCGCAAAGTAGCCATCCTTTCGGTTTTATAAAGGATGCATTTTGGAGAGTGTGCGCAAGTATTGTATAACTTAATTCCTTCCACCATCGGACAACCAGACGTTCGGCCAGGCTCCACCCTTTCGTTGTTGACTTACCACACATTCGAACACCAAACGGTTTGCTACATCGTTCATCGTGCGTACAGCAAAGGAGTGAAATAAATTGTCAGCATCTGTGTTTCCGTCCGATTACAATGTAGGTGTCTTCAAGGCAAGAGGCTTTTGTTAAGTCAGTGCGCTTCACCGCCTTACGCTACATCACCACTTACCATCAGCTGGCATTGTAGTTAAGCGCTGGCTTAGAATAATATAAAAAAAAATTATAGCCGTGTAGTAGTAGAAGCCATATAGAAAAGGTTCCATTACCCCGCTGGTGTCGTTACCGTGTAGGTAGGATGAAATTTATTAAGAATATCATCCCGTGGGTGTCGTAAGAGGCGACAGAGGGTAACAAATCAGGAGATAGGCATTAGCGTCTTCCTAATAACGACCAAAAATAAGCTTGGAGGAGGCCTATGTTCAATAGCAGACTTTTAGGCTATAACTCTAACAGTAGATATCTCAATTTATGATTAAGATTATAGTTTGAAATTTTTAGATGGTGGGCTGCACCAGTAGGGAGCTGAAGGCAGCTCAAAGGGGCTCTGGATTTGATGTGCTCAAGCTTATCGCTGAAGATCCGAGGTAAGAAGCTTTATAAGATTTTGATATAATTTTTTTCATAGAATAAGTGTCACCAACGAGCACTCATTCCGGTTCTCTGCACTGACCATACGAAAAACAGCTGAATCGACTATCCTATGTCATTTCGTTCTTGTTGTAAGAGGCGACTTAATGAACAGCAATCATTTCCTGATTAAAACTCAGAATAAAAAACTGTATTTGCTTACCCACTTGCCAAGCATGGTAACTGGCAAATATTCCGTCTATGAAACAGTATATGGGAAGGTCTATGTTCAGCAGAGAACATTTATAAACTGTTATAAATGGATGGATGGACATATCGCTTGCTCGTGTACGAATTGTTCGAATTAATTCCAGCCACTAAATTGCACCAACGCACATCACGATAAAACTCACAATACCATCCACACTATCTGGATGTGCGACTGTGCGATATATTAGAAGTTTTCTTCCTCGTACCACTTCTATTAGGGATAGTTTTGGTGCGGAGTCGAGATAGTGTGTGGAGAGATGAGTTGTTGAGTACAAGTGTACTGAATAACTAACTTTTATGTCTTGAAGAGAGATTAACTTTGATAGCTTTATTATTTTACTAAATTGACTTGTCTGAGTACTAAGGGGACTGTATAAATAAAGGTGGGACAATTTAACAACTATTTATGACAATTATGCGGCAGTACAATTAATTATTAAATCTAACTAATTAGTGAAACACTAGAGGGAGATTTCTTCTTTTCTTGAGTCTTCTTTCTTTACTGCCGCTTGGGAATCGAACCCTTCCTATATTTGCGCGGCGGGGGTTACCACGCGGCGTCGCAGGCTTCACGTGACGTCCTGTAGCGTGCGGGGTGAGGGATGCGGGGCGTGACGGGTACGAGGGGGCGACGGGGCGGCGGCTCCTGAGCCGTCCGTAACAACTTCTTTGTTTCCACAAATGTGTAACAGTAGCGTATGTTAGATTTACCTTTAAATTTGTATAAATAAAACAAGCTTTTATACGTGGTAGAGCCATGCTGCAGCTATATTAGTAGTATAGTTGTAGCACGAATGGGTCGGCTCGACCGGGGAAGGACCACGCTCTCACAGAATACCAGCGTAAAATAGCAGCTTAATGATGCTATGTTTCGCCTCACGGGTGACGACGCCTCTGCATTTTGTTTCGCAAACGAGGATATATGTAGATGTCTATGGGTCACAGCAACCACTTACCATCAGGTGGAATGTGTGCTCGTTTGTCACCCTATCCTATAAAATAAATTGAACTACTCACGGACTGATTAGCTGACATTACGCTCAGCATCATTTATCTTTGTTTTTGAGAGCCATTAGTTTCCTTGTTTGCATTTTGTATTTCGCTTTGCTTGAATATGGTATAGGTGATATGTAATATTATGAACACAATTGAAAATCTATTATATAGTGGTCAATTGCAAACAATATATTATTACGACCGCTTTGCCGGTGGCCAGGTTCCTTATCGTACGGTACGAATTTAGCGGATGGGGGCTAGGCGACAAAAAGTGTAAGATTTTTCCGTCACGACCCCTTCTGACATAGTGTAGACGGCTTCGGCGGTTATAAGGAAGCGGGATGGAATAATATCCATCTCCCTCATGCTTTTTCTTATCTTGCCATGAAAGAAATATTATTATTATTACTTACTACATTTATTTATATACTAGATATATTTATTTATATTAATTATAATATAATTTATATTCATCAAAAATACATTACATAGTGATGGAAACGTAAACGAGCGTTTACGTATCCATGACTACGTTATGTAGTTCCTTGGGATTTTATCGGACTTCGAATCCTAGATATGTGGACCCTAAGCAAGTAATCATTACATCAACGATTCCTCGTTTACCACCGGCGATTTTTCCGGACCGATACTATTTAGGAACCTTCGAGAAACGAGTTTACTCCTTTCTAAAAGGACTGCAACGGACCTGCAATTCGCCTGGTGTTGCAGTTATTCATTGGCTGCGGTTGACACTTACATTTAGGTGAGCCGCTTGCTCGTTTACCCCCTTTTCTATAAACAATGTGGCGTACATATGTAAGGTGAGACAGGGGCTCGTTGTAAATGCAGATGCGGGGGAGCATGGTGGGTGACGCGTGCGGGGCGGCGACGGAGCGTGAGGGGGGTGCTCCGCCCCCGCCTGCGGCCGGGCTCCGGGCTGCCCCCCGCTCCACTGGCTGGAGTCTCAGCAAAGCTGCGATGGCTGCCGCTCACCCCGGTACAAAACCACCACCTCTATGTTTACGGGAACACTACACATTTAAATGAAACTAGTGTTTACGGATTTTATCGTATTTAATTAATTATTTATCTCCTTGACATTTCGAGTACTTAACAACACTCATAGTCATGGGGGAACGTCCTAATGTCACAGTCAACCACGACTATCTGCAGTTTAAAATTAATAAATTATAGATTAAAAAGAACTAAAAAAATAAACACGATTTAATGGTAAACATAAGTAAAAAGGTAAAATTTTTTTTAGAAATAAGAATAATATATAATTAATAGAATCAGGCGTTACTTTGCGGAAATCCATTATATAAAAGCTTTTACAAAAATTTACTTTTAAATTTTTGTAAAAGCTTTTAAAGAATAATATAATTAACGAGGATAAATATTATTGTGAAAAGCGTGTGTTGCTCGATATATTATATGCTGTTAAATTAATATTTCATCAGTACGATTAGTATAAAAATATTGTGAAATAAAGCACTCCACGCTTTTTGGAAGAAAGTTCCTTATCGTACGGTACGAATTTGGCAGATGGGGGCTAGACGACAAAAATTGTAAGATTTTTCCGTCACAACCCCTTCTGAGACGTGTGTAGTGTAGACGGCCTTGGCGGATATAAGGAAGCGAGATGGAATAATATTATAATATCCATCTCCCTCGCACTTTTTCTTATCTTACCATGAAAGCAAATATTTTATATATAATACGTTTAATCAATAATAATATACTAAGAATAATTAAAAATTAAAAATTTTGTACAACCAACTTCAATATAAATTATTAAAAATAACTCAAAAACTATTGGTCAGTTTATATGAGACCACATGTGAAGCACCAGCTTACAAATATAAAAAGAATCATCGAAATCGGTTCAACAAAAAAACATACAATCGAATTGAGTACCGTCTCCTTTTTGAAGTCGGTAGAAAAAACTTCGTTCCAACCGAGTGTTCCACGACACTCACGCGTGTTTTTATACTATAATATTTATCCTCGTTAATTACATAATTCTTAATTTAAAAAAATATTTTTATCTTTTTTAGTTCGGCTTACCATTAAAGAGTATTTTTTAAATATAAATTATAATTTATTTTTCAGTTTTTAGTAATCCTGACAATCCTGTTCAGGATAAATGGGATGAGCTTATCAAATTATTGTATTGTCATCGGTTCTTGATAAGTTTGCAAAAGTTTCAATTTAATCTGACGTTTGAAACTGGGTGAAAATCAAATTTAGAAGAGCCGGTTACAAACAAACACGCTAACATACACGTGGAGCTAATATAAAGCGTGTAAAAAAATAAGTTTGTAAAAATAAAAGTGTAGTACTCGAAACGTCGGGAATGTAAAGTATGTTAATATACGCGAATAATCAACAGCTGTACTATCCCAGGACAGCGAGGAGCTGAACGCATCACCTGGGAATCTCAGTCCGAGTGTTGAGCAACAGATCAAGGACACTTTGCAACGGGGACTCAGCTGCATGGGGTCCAGCACGGAGAGGACAGACGCTGAAGGTCAGAATCGTCTCTTGTTACAGAACTAGGTCTTCAACTGGACATTGTTATATTAATACATGTACATTGCTATCTATTGAAATTTTTAAAAAACGTTTTTTACGTGGTAGAGCCATACTGCAGCTACATTAGTAGTATAGAATGGGTCGGCTCGACCGGGGAAGGACCACGCTCTCACAGAATACCAGCGTAACATAGCAGCTTAACACTACTGTTTCGTATGGTGAGTGTAGAGAACCGGAAACTAGTGTCCGAGCGAAACAGGATTTTCAACCGAAACCGAAAACGAACCTTCGGTCTGGGTGTCAGTTTCGGCCGAAACCGAAACCGAACCTTATTTAGACATTTTCATTTTTTTGATTGTATACTGGAATCTGGTACTTATACATCTGGTTTTTATACATATACAGATAGGTAATGCATGTTAATCAAAAACAGTAACTGTAATAGTCATGCAGTAATATATTTATTTATTTTCAAGTAAAAATCAACAATTTAACGTTAAAAAATACTTTTAAGTCAATTATGTAAAAAAAAATCAACACACCCATAAAAAGTTGCTCGCTAATTGAGAACATATTTTATTGTGTTCACAATATTGTTAATATTATTCAACGAGAGCATTAACTTAATATATCACACTCACACACAATATACATTCACACACCTTAACAAAATCCCAGAAAATATACAAAACCTGCTCAAAGTTCAAAAACTTTAATAAACTAAGTTTGTATAAAAAGGGTTATAATAATATTAAGGAATTTTTTTTTATAGGAGAGGGGGAAACGAGCATACGGCTCACCTGATGGTAAGTGACTACCGCCGCTCATGAACAACTGCAACACCGGGGGAACCAGGAGAATTGCAGATACGTTGCCGGCCTTTTAAAGAGGAGTAGGCTCTTTTCTTGAAGGTCCCATGAGTCGTATCGGTCCGGAAAAATCGCTGGTGGTAATCGATTCCACATGGAAGTCGTGCGAGGAAGAAAACATCTTCTAAATCGCACAGTGGTGGACCGCCAATCATCCAGATGGTGTGGATGGTATTGGGAGTTCTGCCGCGATGTGCGTTCGTGAAATTTGGCGGGTGGGATTAATCCGAACAATTCCTTCGAGCACTCCCTGTGATAAATGCAAAAGAAAATGCAAAGGGATGCAACATCTCTTCACAGCGTCAGTAAATCGAGCCGATCGGAAAGGACTCGGCCGTCGACGATTCGAGCCGCTCTGCGCTGGATGCGATCAAGTGGAAGGAGCTGGCACAGGGGAGCCCCTGCCCACTTAAGTCTCTCTCAAAGTCTGTCTCACTTAAGAGATGGGAACAGTATTCCATGTGAGGCCGAAACCGCGCCTTGTAAAGTTGCAGGCGGTGTGCCGACATGAAATACTGTCGCGCTCTGCTGAGCACGCCAAGCTTTTTAGAGGCCAGTTTGGCATTCTCTTCCAAGTGACCACGAAACTGCACGTCACTCGATATGTCGACTCCGAGGATTCCGATACTGGCTGAGGCAAGTATCGGAATCAGAATCGGAAAAAGAGGCTGAGGGGAGTGCCTTGAAACTAAGGAGATACGACAAAGGGGTTCTTTTTAGCGGTAAACGTGCAAACTTGTGTCTTCTGAGGATTAAACTGGACTAGATTTAGTCGCCCCCAATCCGAGACTTTGTTCAGCAAAGACTTGACTTCAGACACAAGTTTGTTCCGGTACTCGGCGACGTTTTCCCGACAAATATTGGCACGGCCGGTGTATAGAGCATTATGGATGATAATAACCCCACTATGGTGTTCACAACCAAGCTATTTCTGATTTCTTTTTGTTGTTAATTGCGTTACATACATGATTGTAAGAATAGCGTAGCTACGTATGGGCGAAGTGGGTCCTCGCCCACGGCCTTGCACTTGAAGGGGCCTCGCGCGACCCCCTAAAATGCAATGCCCCCAGACTACCACAGATGACTAAATAATTTGATCACTTTTACCCTTGACAAAGTGAAAGTGTGTTTGTTTGGGGCCTCGTAAGAAGCCCCCTTAAATACGACTGCGAAGCCTTTGAAACTACCTTCAAAGACCGTGATTGTTACATTGACGAAATACGAGGCTTGTCAGGAATTAATAGATATGAGTAGGTACGAGGGTAACACTAAAAGTTTTTAAAAAATCAAAATCTGAACAAACTAGCAAGTTATTACTCTTATTATATCTTTTCAAAATAGTGTCCATATACATCTTTTTAAGAAGTTTTTCTTGTATTTTCGGATATAAATAAAAATCGCAAGGTGCGAGGTCGGTGCTATAGGGCGGGTGACCCAGTAATTCCACGTCTGACGTCGCCAAGTAGTCGATTGTTTGCTTGGCGGTGTGCGACGAGGCGTTGTCGTAGTGAAGGAGGATCCTACTGCGAGGTCGTTTCTCCCGAACTTTTTCCAAGACAAATAGCAAACAATTGTTAGTGTAGCACTCTGCAGTAACTGTTTTTCAATCCACTAAAACAATTGTTGCGTAATGACCTGTTCTTCCGAAGAACGAGGCCACCATCTTTTTTCCCCATGCTTCGACTTCTCTTCACTTTAGTTGGCAACTCCTCGGAAGGAAACACCCAGACAGCAGACTGTCTCTTACTTTCTGGATCATAACAATAAATCCAGCCTGTAAGTATGTCGAACACAGCATTTGAGTCACCTCCATTAAATGTTTAAACCATTTCACGACACCAATCAACACGACGGAGTTTTTGGGCCTCTGTCAAGTTATGGCCTCTGTCAAGTAATATGTATGGGCCTCTGTAAGTTATTATACCCGCCGGGCACAAAGCTTCCTGACTGCTAAATATTCATGGAGGATTTTGTGCACTCGACTCATACCGATGCCTTATCTTGTCCGAATCTGCTGATAAGTCACTCTTTTTGTCAGTCTCTATCACATGCCGTACAACACTGATGTTATCTTCAGTCGTTGCCGTAGAAAGCCGCCCCATTGAGTTATACAAGACTAAATCAATGGCCGTCCCTCACGCAGATCATCGGTGAGATTAGTGCGACCACGTTTAAACTCTTACATACCTCTTTGTAAATGAAAAAAGAGGTATGTAAGGATCGTGACACTTGGCGATCTGTTCTCTCTGGCTACCCCGTCAGGGATTGTGCGTGAAAATAAGTACGTTTAAACTCATTAAATCAGTTATAAACAGTGGCACGAGAAGGCCAATCGAAGTCTATCATATCTTTCTTGTTGACTTAAACAACATCGAAATTCATAAAAAATCAGTGTACGAACATTTTCTCGCGTTAAATTCATGCTTTTACATGGTAGAGCCATGCTGCAGCTATATTAGTAGTATACGAGGGCTGCACTAAAAGTATCGGGAATGTAATATTTCCACTGTTCCTGTCATATTAATTTTTTTTTTAATTGAAAGGTCCTTGGTTTCAAAAATCGAATACCATTTATTTATTTAAAAAAAGATTCTCGGTCTTGTCACAAGGTTTTGTCAAACTTGTTTAGTAGTTGAGAAAATGGAATTGACTCGAGAAAATTCAAGAGCGATGATTTATTATGACTTTCGAAGTGGTTTAATACAAAAACAGTGTGTTGACCGGATGATTTCTGCATATGGTGATGAAGCTCCATCCAAAATCACAATTTATCGCTGGTTTGCTGAATTTCAACGTGGACGTGTCAAGCTCAGTGATGATCCCCGTCAAGGTCGTCCAAAAACTGCAGTGACCCAAGAAAACGTTGATGCTGTGCGTAAGCTGATTGAGGAAGATCGACATGTGACATACCGCGAAATTCAGGCAACTTAATTATCTTGCATGAACAATTAGGTGTAAAAAAGTTGTTTTCCCGATGGATACCGCATTCGCTCTGTGAAGAGCAAAAAGCAGCTCGTGTTACTTGGTGCGTCAGAACTCTCGAAAGATTCCACGCAGGATCCTCAAATGCTGTAAACAACAACTCGAAACAAAAAACAAGTCACGAGTTTGGGTGTTCGAAAATGAGTTAAAGCCAACAAAAATTGTTCGTTCACGGATTGTTGCAAAAATAATAGTGGCCACGTTTGTCTCCAAAACCAGCCATGTTACGACTATTCCTCTTGAGGGACAAAGAACGGTTAATGCAGAATGGTATGCTAGCATTTGTTTGGCACAGGTCGTTTCTGATCTCGGTAAAGAGGACTGCAACCGCCGCATCATCCTCCATCACGACAATGCGAGTTCTCACACCACACACAGAACAAAAGTGTTTTTAGAGCAAGAAAACATAGAATTATTAGACCATCCGCCGTACAGCCCCGACCTAAGCCCTAATGATTTCTATACTTTCCCTAAAATAAAGAATAAATTGCGTGGACAGAGATTTTCATCACCTGAAGAAGCTGTGGACGCCTATAAAACGGCCATTTTGGAGACCCCAACTTCCGAATGGAATGCTTGCTTCAATGATTGGTTCCATCGTATGGAAAAATGTGTCAAATTTCGCGGAGTATACTTCGAAAAGCAATAAATACATTTTTAAATAGTAATGTTGTGTCACTTCCTTGATTCCCGAAATTTTCAGTGCTGCCCTCGTAGTACAATGTAAAACGAAGATGTCCTGATTGACTGACTCATCAATCAACGCACACCGTCACGCACACGCACATTAAGAAGTACAAACCGCTGTACGTAAAAAGCTAAAATTGGGACAGCTGCCTTTTATAACGTGAAAAATTCAACCCCCTGAGAGAGTGAAATTGGGTGTTACAGTTTGTATGAAACTTTTTATTTAATAGGGTGATTGACTCGATACTTATTAAAGGTGCTCTGTAAATTAAATTAATTCGGATTTAGCATTTTTCAAAATAGCTGTTGTTTAAACTTATATAGTAATACATTATTTGAAAAACTGCTTCGACAAAATGATCTAGGGGAATACAACATCCGACCTTTTATTGTCATTTCTATTTCGATGTGAAACATATTTTGCCGTCACGCCCCCTCTATGCCACCGCTAAACGTAGTGGTTATATTCTCTTTGGCCACCGCTTTCGACTCCTTTGTGTGTGTGTGTGTGTGTGTGTGTGTGTGTGCACGTATACTCCACACTGCATTGCTTCTCTGTGTGAGTTGTCTACTACTTGTGCCTTTCTATTCGACTTTAGTATACTTGACGCTTGTATACACATTTTGTATTCCTTTTTATATTATTTTTTATTTATTTTACTCCATATTTCTTTCTTCATTTTCCTTAATAATAATAATAATATTTATTTGCAAGAATATGGTTGTACAACGGTGTTCAAATATAATAAGTTGTATATATTCTTCCTTAGTGGTGTGCAAATATTAATGTTCAAGTACTAACATGGTAATATCTATCGAATATTTAACAATACACAAATTATTTAATATTATTTATTCAATTTATTTGATAACTAATTATGAAAAAATGTCAGTGTAAGATTATTATTATAGAACAATGTCAAATATTAATATTCACTTGTTAATATTAATAATATGACAATTATAAATGACATCTTTATATATTATATAATTTTTAGGTCCGTGTGTATGTGACTGAATTTCTCGTAAACGGCGAGACTCATTTTGATGAAATTTTGCGTGTATTATTAAGTTGATTCGATAATGGTTTAGATTCACAATTAAACCCGGCAGGTGGCGCTGTTGTCGAGGTCCCGAAATCACCCCCGCGAAGCCGGGGCGGATCGCTAGTTATTCTACCATCAACTATGATGTGCGATCGAATTGAGAACATCCTCCTTTTTTAAATCGGTTGAAAAAGAGAATATACAGAAAGGAATGCTTTGGTCATTTGGGACACGCAGAAACAATGATGAGGAAAAAATGTCAAGCAAATCTATGTTGCAGAAGTGAGCGGCAGAGTCTGCCAACGAGTTTTAGCGAGACTAACGGACAGCAATTATTGATTATTATAATATATATATATAGTATAAATAAAGTTCACAATTTCAGGTCACATGTCGACTGACAGCTTCGAGATGTCAAGCATGGAGCGAGCACTGCCGCAGATCCCGGACTTGATGCAGGTATGTGACAAATCGCAACCAGGACCTCTTAAGTAAAATTAAACGCGATAAAATCATTTTTAATTTTTTTTATAGGAGAGGGAGCAAACGAGCATGCGGCTTACCTGATGGTAAGTGACTACCGCAGCCCATAAACAACTGCAACACCAGGGGAATTGCAGATGCGTTGCCGGCCTTTTAAAAAGGAGTAGACTATTTTCTTGAAGGTCCCTAAGTCGTATCGGTCCGGAAAAATCGCCGATGGTAATCGATTCCACAAGGAAGTTGTGCGAGGCAGAAAATAATAGAAAATTCTAAATAGAGCATAATCATTTTTATCAAATACTAGCTGGTACCCTGCACGTAACTGCCGCAGAAGAAAAATTTGGAAGAGTTATACCGGGTTATTTTTCAAAGAGTAGCCAAATTTTAAACTTAAGTTCAAATGTGTAAATAATAGAGTTTGGGTCCCGGAACGTCTCGTGTCTCGAAGTCCCGGGACTTTTCGTAATTTTAGTTGTCTCGAGTCCCGGGGCTTTCGGGTCGAGACTCGAGACGAGACAAGATTGCCAAAATTGTTATGTAATCATTTTTATTTTCAAATAATTGAAGGAGCCTAGCGCCATGTGTTAGTTTTATGAATAATTACTTGGTCTTCTACGTAACTACTGAGTACGCAACACAACAAATGAAACAAATATGTGATTATGAGAATTAACAATGAGATTATGAACTATGATTAGATACTAGGATTACTAGATAATAGTAAAGTTATTAGGAATTAGTATGATTTTTAACTAAGATCGTTTCATAACTAAAAGATTTAACTGTTTAGAAGTGTAGCTGTGTGTGACTAAAAGAAATAAACAAAGCAATTATTAAGACTGAAATTAACGTTAAAGTTATTTAATTTTCTTTTTAAAGGTCTAATAAATGTTGATTTTTACAAAAAATTGCCTCTTTTTAATACGTTTCACCAGAAATTTACTGAACTAAAATTCATCAAAGGAAGCTTACCCATCTTAAAAAAACAAAAAAGCTTTTTCTTAAAAGTCTCGATTTCTGGGAATTCCCGGGACATTGATTATAGGCTGTCCCGTGTCCCGAGACTTTGAAATTGTCGGGAATTCCCAAACCATAGTAAATAATGATATACATTTTTTGAAAATACGAGTAAATAAGGGAGACTTCACCCGCGCATAATTTATTACGATTGGATTGCATGGATTTTAATTTTTTGCGCGGAACCTTTTACTAAAATAAAAGTAGCCTAAGTTACTTTTTATAACATCAGCTCTGCCAGTGAAAGTCCGGTCAAAATCGTTCCAGCCGTTTCGGAGATAAGCCGGAACAAACAGACATACAGACAAAATTTTTAAAAATAGTGTTTATGTTATAAGTACCGTATATACTTTCATGTGCATATAGTAAAAAGCAGTTATTTCGACATTTTAAACAGATACTTCAATTTTATTTATTTCTATAGATTATCCCAAATTGAATGTGATTTATGGGCAGCAACGTTTTTGCCCCGATTGACCCTTACGAATGTGTGCGTGCGCTGTAAAATCACTTAAAATAATCCATTACCACGCATTTTGAATTTAAAAATATAATAATATAAAATTAAAAATATTGTACAACAGACTTCAATATAAATTATTAAGAATAACTCAAAAACTACTGGTCAGTTTGATTAAGGGGGAAAAACATCAAAATCGGTTCACCTAGACAAAAGTTTTATATTGAAGTCGGTTGTACAATTTTTTTTAATTTTACCACTGTTTCAATTCACCTTGAAAACACTAACAAAATGCATTTGTTCTAGGGCTCGTGGTCTAGCGATGATACCATAGAGTACTTGGATGGAGTCCATCTTATACTCAATGCTGAGGGAGCGAGCTTGCTGCCGTTGGCTATTGAGTAAGATTTCATATATAATTGGTCTTTGAGGTTTTTTAACACTAAATTAGTGTGTCAAATATGCTCATAGTCTAACAGAGAGGAAGTCTGTCCTTCAAACAGAACTATGGTCACGGCGGCCATTCCATCTGCTCAGGACACAATTATAGTGCCTAAGAGTCGGAGAGCGATCAAGCGTCAGGAACAACGGTTTTGCGTGCTTTCCGATGCACGGGCGTGAAACACTGTCAATTTCCTGACTATCAGGTGCTATAAAGAATTTCTTAAAGGAAAAACTCAGTAAATACATTTTTTCACTCGACTCTGGCTTTGAACTCGGGACATGATGATTAGTAGCCGTGTTTACGTCACGTCAATTAACCCAATGAGGCAGTTGAAATGGTAAGTAATGCACTTTTAGTACACGTTTTTGAGACTAATGTTTTCATAGCGTTATTGAGTAAAATTGAATGAGAATATGAACAGTGTTTCTAGTGGGCGCCACTACCGGAATTTATATCAATTATTATTTATTTAAATAAATAAACAGTTATTATTTTATTGTAAATACTATAATATTTTGGTCTTTAGGTATAGCTAGGGGTATAAAAGTCCTCCGTAGCTTGCTTTTACATTGACAGTAGTGCCGTGTCACAGTCATTACGAGGGTGACACTGAAAGTTCTTAGGAAAATCCAAAAAAAACTGAACTAACTAACTAGTTTTATTATATCTTTTCAAAATAGTGTCCATTTACATTGTAGGCTTAGTTGCTAGGCAAATAAAAGCGTCTTCACTCTTCCAAAATGTATATATTCTTCTATTACAAAGGCAATTTAAAATTACAAGCACGTAGTCAAAAAGATAAAAACAAATTAATAAAAAGATACAATTAATTAGAAGTAAGGAGTGCTTGAGACAGGAAGTCGAGATAAGTTAGTCATTTGGGTTGAGCGCTGGCTTGATACAGGCATTAAGGTCTCTTTATAGGGACTCTAGTGCTTGTGTCAGGATCAACGGGGTCTACTCGGACTGGTTTGGCATTCATAAAGGTGTCAGACAGGGATGTGTGGCTTCCCCGTGGCTGTTTAACCTATTTATGGACAGTTGTTTGCAAACTTTGAAAGTTGAAGAATGTGGGTTGAGAATGGGTGAGTCAACCGTCAAATGCCTTTTGTACGCCGATGATCAAGTCATATTTGCATCGTCGGCGGCCGAGTTGCAAATGATGGTTACTTTAATGAATTGTTCATTGAAAGAAAGGGGGTATGAAAGTGAACGCAAGTAAGAAGAAAGTAAAACTTTATGTAAAATAAGAATAGAAGGGGAGTTGATTGAGCAAGTGGATGAGTTTGTATATTTGGGATGTTTATTTAGCAGGGATGGTAGATATGATAAGGATATAGAACGACGAGTGAACGCAGGAAATAGAGTGAATGGGGCTCTACACGCTATTGTGAGGAGTCAGAATGTGTCAACTAAGGCACGTATGGCAATTCATAATGCTGTGTTAGTACCGACTTTAATGTATGGTAGTGAAAGTTGGGTCTGGCAGAAGAAGCATGAGAGTAGAATAAATGCTGTAGAAATGCGTTCCTTAAGGAGTATGCTAGGGCTGAATCTGAATGACAGGGTGAGAAATAGTGTAATAAGAGAAAAGTGTGGTTTGCAAGATGACGTTGTGACAAGGATTAAGAAAGGAATGCTTCGGTGGTTTGGTCACGTAGAAAGAATGAACGAGGAAAGAGTGACAAAGCAAATTTATGTTGCAGAAGTGAACGGCAGGGTCGGGAAGGGACGCCCTAGACGAAGGTTTATCGACCAGATCGGCGATACATTGAAAATGGGCCAGATTAGGAGTACCCTTAACCGACGAGCGTGTATGCGTAGATATATGGATGTGAAAGAGGCGAGAGAGGTGTGTCAGGATCGCGCCAAATGGAAGTCCGTAGTCTCTGCCTACTCCTCTGGGTGACAGGCGTGAGTGTTTATGTATGTAAGTTAGTCGTGATTTAAAATAACCGTTATTCCGGCGGCGCGAGCGTGGGGTCTAGCGCCGAGGATGTTTAAATGCAGACTGTCGGTAAAAACCGAAAGCGCCCGGGCTGTCACGAAAGCAGCTCTAACGGAGCCGAGTATTTCCGACCCCAACCGACACGAACCTCGCGTCGGCGCGTACGCCGTTACCTAAACATGCAAAAGAATGACAAAATTGCATCTCACCACATCAGGCCCCGGAGACCTTTAGGGTCGATAGAAATCAGGGAATTGTACTCGGCGACCGTAATGAGACGTCCTGAATTGCAGAGGAGTTGAAAGTGCTCTTGTACCATCACTCGCAGCGTTAGTCCCATGCGTCCTAGGCATAGTCGACGTCGCACCAGAACTACCTGGTTCATCCGTCAGGATATAGGCCGGTTTCAACCTGTCGATAGAGACGTTGACTATTCTACCAGCAACGTCAATTTTGAATTTTTTTTTTACCGCGCTCTATTACCTTATACGGACCGGCATAAGGTGGTTGTAAAGATCTCCGTACAAAGTCCTGTCGTAAAAATACATGTGAAACAGTCGCTAAATCTTTAAAAACGAAAATTTTACGCGTACCTTGTCGAGTAACTGTTGTAGGTTGTAACCTTTTCATATGTAAACGCAACCTTTTTTTTTATAGGATAAGGGTGACAAACGGGCACACAGTCCACCTAATGGTAAGTGGTTGCTGCGGCCCATAGACATCTACATCTATCCTCGTTTGCGAATCAAAATGCAGATGCGTTGTCACCCGTGAGGACTAAGATGGAATGCCTCATTTCCAGTAAAAAGGGCCTCCGGCCACCTGCACTCACCAAGCGAAACGCAGAGGTAAACCTCTACTTCACGCTGGTATTCTGTGAGGTCGTGGTACCACCCCGGTTCGAGCCGGCCCATTCGTGCGACAGCAATTCTGCCGCGTGGCTCTACCACTGTTACACAACCTGTCCAGAAAGTCGGTGTAATCAGTCAGTCTGTGAGCCGTCGGTTCAAACAAGTCGCCGGGTAACTTAAGCGGTTCTCCGTAAACTAATTCAGCAGTAGAAGCAGACAAATCGTCCTTCCATGCACTACAAATACCCAGAAGTACAAGTGGAAGTTTCTCAGTCCAGTTCTCGTCTGCGTGACACATAATAGCCGCCTTAAGTTGTCGATGGAAGCGTTCCACTAGACCATTGGCAGCAGGATGATACGCAGTAGTCTGTACATGTCGTGAACCTATAAGCGCTGATATCTGACTGAAAAGATGGGATTCAAACTGTTTCTCCCTATCTGTGGTTACCTTTTCTGGGCAACCAAAACGTGATATCCACGATGATATAAAAGCTTTTGCTACACTCTCCGCTCTGATGTCCTTTAACGGCACTGCCTCCGGCCGCCTATATATAGCTGTGAATCAGTATCAGTAATCATCAGAAACGGGAAGTGGACCTATCCAGTCAACGTGAACGTGAGAGAAACGGGCCGTAGGAAGCTTAAAATCCTGGATAGGGGCGTGTACGTGTCTCGATACTTTCGATCTCTGGCATGAGATACACGAGCGCGCCCAATTCCGGCAATCCTTCCTAATGCCCGGCCATACATACCTCTCAGGCACCAATTTAATAGTGGCCCTAGCACTTGGATGACTAATTCCATGAATATTGTCAAAAACTTTCAAAAAATTGTTATGAATGGTCTATGTCTGGGCCCAGATATGTCACAGAAGATTTTCGTACCACCAATACAGACCTTCTGTAACTTGAGAGACGAACCTGTTCGTAAAATATTTTTGAGTTCTGAGCCCGTGTCCTGCGAAGCTGCTAAGGCAATAGGGTCTAGCGAGCATGTTATTGCATCCGTTCTTGATAACGCATCCGCAACAACATTGTCCTTCCCGGTAATGTGACGGATATCCGTTGTAAATTGGGATATAAAATCTAAATACCTAAATTGTCGCGAGGAGCAAGCGTCGCGGGACTTTTTAAAGTCTGAAATAATTGGTTTATGATCAGTCATTATAAAGAAGGGTTTTAATTCTATCATATGTCAAAAATATTTTACTGACTCGTAAATAGTATTTAACTTGCGTTGGTTAAAGCTTACGCGAAAAGAATCCTAACGGCTGCCAATGACCTAGGACCTTCTGCTGCAATACTGAACCAATGGCGGAGTTGGATGCGTCAGTTACTATGGCCAACGGAGCAGACATATCTGGATGAGCCAGAAGAGCAGCATTAGCAATGCTGGCCTTGCAAGCATTAAAAGCGCTTTCTAGGTTAGCAGTCCAGTTAATGTTGCTCTTGCTCTTCACCGATGGACCACTAAATAGTGCATGGAGAGGAGCCTGAAGCTTGGCAGCATCCTGTATAAAGCGTCTATAAAAGTTTAATGCTCCTAAAAACCGCCTAAGATCCCTGATAGTTTTAGGTAGTTTAAAGTCAAGAATAGTCTTCATCTTGTCACCAACCGGTTTAGTACCTTCGGAAGAAACTAGGTAGCCCAGAAACTCCACCTGCGGCACGGCGAATACACACTTATTTGTATTTAATAAAATACCGTATTCGCTGAAACGCGAAAATACCGCACGTAAATGTTCCTGGTGCTCCATCTCATTAGCGGAAGCAACTAATACGTCATCGATGTACGCAAAGCAGAATCGAGATCCCTGAAGACCTCGTCCATGAAGCGCTGAAAGGTTTGCGCGGCATTCCTCAGGCCAAAGTTCATCAGTGAGAACTCGAAAAGTCCGAAGGGTATCGTAATAGCTGTTTTCTCTACATCCTCTATCGCAACCGGTATATGATGGTACGCTCGCACTAAGTCTAATCTATTAAAAATTTTACGATTAAAGAGATTGTGCGAAAAGTCAGCAATGTGGCGTACTGGGTATCGATCTGGTATCGTGCGAGCATTTAGTGCACGGTAATCCCCACAGGGTCGCCAACCTTCGTCTTTTTAGGCACTAAATGGAGGGGTGACGACCATGAACTCTCCGACCCATACGCTATT